GAGAATAGTTGTTAAGCTAGTAATATATATAGCTATAAAGGACTAGATATAAAGACATTATAACTATATATAACTATAAGTTAACTATTAGAGATAATCTAGGCTTTAAGACTAGCTTTTATAATAAGTATAAGGGCTATTACTATTTTTAAAAGTTTATTTATAGTAGGATTAGTTATAACTTTAATATCTTTGAAAGTAGACTTCTTAGGGAGTGTACTTTTAACCTGATTAGGGCTAAAAGGCTGTTTTAAGGAATAGAGAACTATAGCTAATAAAAAGAAGGTAGAAGTGTTAGAATCTCTGTAATAACCCTTATATTTTAACTTTTATTTTACTTATATAAGTATTACCCTCTTAAAGGTACTAAAGTTCTTTTTTTTAAATAAATTAATAGAGAAAAGTCTTATCTATAAGGATATTACTATAATTATATTTTTAAAAAATTATATAACAAAAAGCTTAATTAGCTCTTAAGCGCTTATTATAGGCTTCCCTTTAGCTTTTGCCTTTTCTCTTATACTTTTAACCTTTTAAAATAAAGTTATAGTTTCTATTAGGTTATTATTCTTAATTAAGTTTCTTTTTATAAGGTCTTTAATATAGTAGTTTAGTTAAAAAATAACTTCTTTATTAAGTTATTTATAAGTATTAAAAAAGAATTTATTTAGTTCTTATTAAGTCTCTTTTTTAGCTTTAATTTTTATTATTACTTAGTATTTATTAAGTAAGTATTATAATAATACTTTTATTTTATTTTTATTAAAATAACTTATAAGCCTAGTTAAGGCTTTATACTTATTAAAGAAATTAGTAATATTATAGCTATTAAAGGTAAAGGCCTTTTTAGTGTTTAGTAGTAATATCTTAATAGTTAACTAATATAAGTAATTTGTCTTGCCTTAATCAGGCTTAATAGACCCTTAGTCCTTAGTTATACTTATATTAACTATTATTAATAGGTTTACTATTAAGAGTTACTAGGCCTAGAAGTTTGTTGTAGTAAGGGAGTTTAATGCTAGATTAAAAAAAAGGCTTATATTCTTATTAGTTTAATTAGGACTTTTTTTGTATTATTAATAGCTTAAGCTTAAGTCTTTACTTTTATTTCTCTTAGTAGTTCTAAAGTTAGAAATCCTAGGACTAGTCTTAGACTTAGTGTTTATATTATTATTAAGGCTTTAGTAACTCTGGAAAGCTTTATTAGTAAATAAGGTAACCTAATTAGTTAGACCTCTAAGCTACCTTATGTTAGTTGTTAATAAGGTTAGCTTAGATATATTGCTAATATCTTAGTAAGCTAGTTGTAGGAAGTATAAATAGTATTAATTACTTTGAATTAATTTTAGGGTACTATATATAAAATCTCTTTAGAGTTACTACTTAACTTAGTCTATTAACCTAATTAGACTTAAAAATAGTATTTTATATATTCTTATAAGGTATTAGTTTATTATATTCTTAATTAAGTTTCTAAAAGGGGTACTTATTAAGTCTAAGCTAATCTTAAAGGAACATTAAATTTCTATTACTACTAATCTATTAATACTAAAATATTTAGTCTTTATTAATAGCGTAATATTAAACCTAATTAAACTAAGGCTTATATAATAATAAGATCTTAAGAAGTTCTAGGCTTAGTTTATAGTTATAATTATTTTATAACTTATACTAAGAGAGCTTTTTAGCTTATTAATCCTAGTAAAAAGTATTATTTTTATTTTATTATTTTTTTTTTTTATATCTTATAGGCTTTTTTTTTTAATTAGGTTTATTTAGTATTTACTTATAAAAGAATTACTTATATATAAGGTTTATTTAGCTATATTATATTATTATAATTAGTTATTTTTTTTTTTTATTTTTTTAAAGAATCCTGTTTTTCTTAGGTTTTATTTATTATAGTTTCTTAAGGTTAGGCTTACTTCTATATCTAGAACTAAGTTTAATTAGGTTAAAGATATTATTTTTTTTATATCTTTTTAATAGTATATTTTATTATTTAAAGCTCTTTTTAAAGTATAAATACTAAATTTATTATATAGTTAAAATAAAATAATAAGAAAATTAGTAATTTAATTTTATTATAAGATACTATTAAAACTATATAAGATAAATAAAGTTAATAAGTAGATAATTAATATATAAACTACACTAAACATTAAAGTCTTAGTATTATTATAAGTATACCTAGAGTAACTAATTACTCTAAGTAACTACCTTAATGCCTAGACCATAAAATACTACTTTTTTCAGGTTTTCCTTAGCCTAATCAAGGCTATAAGCAAACTAGAAAAGTGTATCCTTTACGTTTTATAGTCTATTTAGATTTATCCTTATTACTAAGTAGTATATATATATATATTATGATCTCTAGAGGAGGAGAATACCTTCTTAGACCTTAGAGGTCTAGTTAAGCCTAAGAAAACAAAGTAATAGTTACTTATTATACGTCTTATTTAGATATTAAAGTAATAAATTTATTTATATTTATCTAAGTGCTTATCTAAAGATGTTAAGCTTATCTATTTACTTAATAATAAGATCTTAATCTCTGTAATAGTATTTAACTAGAGCCCTTTTTTATACTTAGAAGAGTCCTACTTAGTCACGTCTGATTAGGCCTGTGATTATGTCTGTAGGCTAATAAAAGGAAAAATGAAAACGTAAAACCTTACCTTTTTCTAGTAGTTATCTAGGTTTTTAACTAAGAGGCCTATTATCTTATTTTAAATAATTTCTATAAGTTTATAAGTTACTTAAGATAAAGTAATTTTATATAATATTATTCTTAAAAAAGTTCTTAAAGTAAAAGTACTTTAGACTTTTAATAGGTCTAAGATTTTTATATAAAAGTAAAAATTTTATTATTTTATTAACTAAATAAATAAGTTAATACTTAAAGCTATTTAATTTAATAAAACTAAATATTTTTTTTAAATAATAGTTTAATTAAATAAATTACTTAATATATATTATTACTTAAGAATTTTAAGTATTAAGTAAAGTATTATTTAGTTTTATATTAAAGCTTTTATTTAAATTAATTTAAAAAATAATTTAATAATTAACGTTTTTATTTATATATTAATTATATTAAATACCTTTTTTTATTATCTTTAAATAGCTTTTTTTATATTAGTATTTAAGATATATATTTAATATATAACTTTAATATTTAAATTAGCTATTATTAAAAGAGGTTTATTATTAGTTTATTTAAGATTTATATTAATAATAAATTTATTAAAAATAAAAATCCTTAAAGTATTTAAGATTTTATTAAAATATTTAAGTTTATTTTTTATTTATTTAAGTCTATTTAAGTTAATAAATTCCTAAATATATTTTAATTTTACTTTAAGCTAAAAAGTTATATATTATAAAAGCTAATTACTTTAGGTCTTAAGCTTCTTTATAGCCTTAATAGAAATAAATATATTAGAGATATTAGTTTAAGAGAATAGAGATAGTTTGTTTAAGAGAGATTTTCTAGCTTATAGTACACTTTAGACATAGTGGTTTAAAGGTATAACATAAGCTAAGCTTATAACTATTATAGAGTTACTACTTAGGGTAAAAAAGACATAAGGAAAACGGCTTAGATTTCTATGTGTAGGATTGCTTTGTCTAAAACGAATAAATATGTATCCTGTGTGGTGGATCTGCACGAAGGGACCGGACTAATAGTTAATCCAGGCCTGGCGCAAATCTCACAAGGCTGCGCGATGCGCGTGAGGGCATCGCGACACTTTTGAAATATGTTTTTTTCCTAAGCTTCCAGGCTCTACTGTGCTATGTATAATTGTCTTTGTTGAGCGGGAGTGAAATAGTTGGTCAAACAAACCGCACTTCGGCAGCATACTGGTAGCGAGAAGGTTGCAATTCGATCGATGAAGATGGTGTTAATTGATTAGTTGTTAATTGGTTGATCTGCGTCGCGGTGTCGGGCGGGCGAGAGAGTGACGCACAGCGATCCGACAACCCAGGATCAACGGTTACGGGAACCGAGCTTTGAGGCGAACTACAGGCGGGCCTAGACCAGTAATTACCGCATCCTCATACCCCCTTGCTTCTGCATTGCGAGCTTCCCAATGGCTTTGCTTCACCAGAATTCCCCAGGGTCCTGCATGTGGCGCACGCCGTCGCATTACATATCGCGATTCTGTACCTCCGTACTTGCTTTGGGCAACATACTGCAGTGTCCGAATCAGTAATGAATTGTTGGCAGGGGAGGCACTCAAAGTTTTCGAATATAAATTCTAACTCTTATCAAAATAAATTAGGACCAGCAATATGTTATGTCCTTCGTCTGCACCCACCGCAATATAACTGTGAAGCTTGTGTCCTACCATGTTAATCTCCTTCTCTATTTTCTGCGGGCCTTGCTCTACATTCGACTGCATCGTCGCAGCTCAAGCATTGCGAGCATGGGCAATTTTAATCTGGTCTTCTGGCCCCTCAACTTTCTTTTGTGCCGCATGGTTCAACTCCCCCTCGTCCCCGGCGCTCGAATACCGGCATGCGCCTGATTGAGGTTCTCAAGGCGCCTCCTGAGCTCCTCAGATTCGGCCATCGCAGGCCTCGACGTGAGCGTCGATCTTACTTTCGCACGCAAAGCACGAACAACTCGCCTTATAAATGCTACCGTCCGAAGAATTAGAGCCTTGTTTCTCTGCATTTAGGAGGGTGAGAACGCATTGCCCTCTGTATTGCTTGAACAACCATGGTTATAATATATCACTCTAAAAGCATGCCCATGTTATTGTCTTGATAACTGATGCTCCCTACAAGGGGAGTATTTGATTCCGTTCTACAAGACAACTAAAAAGACTCAAGGTCACACGACCGAAGGCCTGGGCTCCGTGGTGTTGGAATATGTACATGGAAGTGAAGATGAGAAGCCTTTATAGCTCCTGGCAGTGAAAGAAAGAGTGACAAACCCTTGGGGGTACCAAGTCTTTCCACACTCAAAAGACACAGCATCCAACTACTTCAGCTTAGTAGTTCTCAGTGGCCTTGGTAATCTTGCCAGACTGAAGAGCAACGTCCTTGACAATGACTTCGTCTCCGTTGACGCTCGTGACACGGACCCAGCAAGTAGCACTGGGAAGAGTGCCGGTAATCTCCCACATGTTGGGGTCATGAAGAGTAGCGGTCTTCCAGGTCGCGCCCTCATCGCTGCTGACATCGAGCTTCTTGGTTCGGAGAGTGGCATTCTCAATGGTGGCTGCGAACCAGTACTGAGACGCGCCCCCGTGCATGTGGACCTGAAGGGGAGTGGAACTGGGAAGAGGGCAGGTGATCCATTCCCACGCAATGCCGTTAACACTGCCGCCAGAGTATCCGTTGGTCAGCTTGGACCAGGTGCCGGGGGTCATGTCCAGGTGGGTCGCGTTACCACCAGTGCGGTTGGTCACCTTGCATTGCAGTTAGTAAGAAGAAACCCAGGTGGGGGAAGATAATGTCTTGTTTGGTCTTACCATGATCTTGAGAGTCTTTCCCTTGTAAGTCACAGAAATGCAGCCGCCGCAGTTGGCACCGTTTTCCCAGATGTCATCAGAAACGCAGGTTGATCCGTCAATGCCAGCGGGCAGTTCGTAGTCGACGAAGCTGCAGGCGCCATCCTGCCAGCAGTTCTCCTCGGTGCAGCTGTCACCGTAGCGAGTTCCCAAGCCGTAGAAGGTTTCAGTGGATGCGGATTGCACTGCTGCTGCTGCAGTAGACGCGGTGGTAGAAACGGCCTCAGTCTGCTCACTTTGCGCGATGATTGGGTTGCTCGAAGAGGTCTCAAGGGCAGCCTCGGCGGCCTTCACCTGGGAAGATTGGATCGTAGGCTGAACGGGGGTAGCCAAGGTAGTGCTAGGAAGACGATCTGGTGTCATATACGGCAGGCTGACACCTACGGCGGTCGAGTTATGCCCATGCTTGGTGTGGTGGTGGTGAGACTTGATGCTTTGGGGTGCCTTGCAGCTCTTGGCCTCTGCAACAGCACAGACAGTAGCCAAGAGGGCGATGGCAAAGTGGGAAATTTGGGCGGCAATCATTGTAAATGTAGTAATTGGCAATCGAAAACTCGTTTCAAAGGGCAATGAAATGAGTGTAACAGCAGCACAATGAGTGAATGACGAAAAAACAAGCTAGCGAATGAAAGTAAACAAGTCCTTGCCGGGTGTGAGTGCTGCTGCCAAGAAAGCATTGAAACGTTTGGCGGAATGAAGCTTTTTATCTAACTCTACTGGTTTCTCATCACTGTCATTGCACTTTCCACAGGTCATCATTGACTAAGTTTTCCGACCTAACCGATCGAATTTCAATTGAGATTGTGCCTCCATTGGAACTTCAACTACAGAGACAACGCCATGAGCAGCTTCTAACGCATCATTGCGTGGGTTAAACAGGGCTGCTCCATACAATGCCCCTTCCAATTTATCTGAGATAGGCTAGAACCATATGACGGCCGATCATCCGTCCACCCATACTCGATAGCGAGATATGCGAGGTGCTCGTACCAGCCGCGAACACGATGCTTATGCTTGCGTAACCCCAGGCGAATTGGACATTAGGTCTCCACGGTTGTTCTGGTTCGGAGCTTGGATCAAAATTGTGTACCAAAAAGAAGACGCGGGAAGGTTGCAGTGACAATACCAAACGTGAGGGCACTTGTCACCTTGGCCCCTAAACATCTCAAACTTCACGTTTCTCGCCACCAAGGCATAATAAATCCAATCCCCACAGTCGGGCAGCGATCCGACAGGCCCATACACTGGTAGGAGGTAAACTTGATGTTGTGATATGTGTACTGAAAGAGTGGCCATAACGCTAACTGGTGATTTATTTAATGATTAGATGATCGGTGTGATACGAAGAGAAATAGACTGGAGATTCAAGGGTAGCCCAGTCACAACCCATCGTGTTTTGATTGGCAAAACTGTTTCCCCCGCAAAGGTATCGATGGCAATGTTCTATTTTTGATACCAGGCTTCTTACTTCATCAGCTCCCTGTACCATTTCTCTCCTCACGTCATGAACTTGACCTTTTAATTTTCCCGATGTCTTTTTCGGCTTCCGGAGGAAGTTTCTTGGTTCCTCCCATATCATCCCAGTACAGTCTAGACTAATATCTAGGAACATAAGGCCGTCAAATCTAGAATTCTGCGAGTAGTAGCAAAAACCGAGCCAGTCATGTTCATCTGCTTTTTCCCTGTACCTACGCTGCTCACACTGCCTGTTTCAGGTATGATATAGCCAAGTTATAAGCGACTATATGCAGGTGAACCGTAGATCAGGCCATTGAACTTGAAGATGTGGAGTGCAACGCCACAGTATGAGTAGATAAATCAAGGGTAGTGACTCGCTTCTCTGATTACAGCATCTTGAGCTGGACTGGAAATGATCTCCTACGCTAAACCTACATTCTCCTGATTTTACAGCTTTTCCCAAGTTTGGTAGCGATCTTGTATCTCAAGTATCTCTCTGTTTGTATTACCAATGTAATCCTTTTGTTGTGTGAGAGAATCTTTGACGGCATTAACCACGATTTGCTTGCCTGCATGATACTTTTCATCAAGAGTATTAACCATTACTTTAAGGCGTTCCTCTAGCACCTTCAATTTGTACGTAGTCCATTGACAGTAGCTTTCTGAGTGCTGCGAAATGGACCTGATAGACTTAAGGACAGAGTCTTCCTTTATGCATGGGTCGCAGAATCGAAAGACGTGATCATGGCGATCCGGTCGGCGCCACCAATGGCAGCAAGGCCCTGATGTTCGACATATTTGCCATGTAGAATGACGGCAGAGTCTTAATGGAATATCAGGTTCCTTCTGAAATGATATCTGAGGTTTTTCTTACCATGTGTGGGCCTCTGAAATTGACGATCTCCCTAGAACCGGTCTTCAAGGCCACCTCACCACCAACCATATTGGTAGCATCGCTCATCATAACAAGACACACAAAAGTGAACGTATCGTGGTGCCACTTGGTGACAGAAGTATCGCCATCAACTCTCAATTCCATATTCTCCTTATCGGTGACTGCACTCTGGATAGAGATCTTGATGCTGCCAACTTCTCACTGACTGTTAGGGACAAGATCTACTCCCGCAACCTTGGAGATGACTGCCAAGGTCTGTGGATCGTTCTAAACTTGATCCTTAAAAGGTTCGTATCTGTGCATCGTTTGAGTCTTGTGCTTATTCAATGTTGAATGGGAGATTTCTTTGGACAATGCCCTCCCAGTTAGCAAGGTGCAAACTGAGTGCTGTTAAGGCAGTTCTCCCATGCCCCATTAGTGAATGTTTCCCGCCTCATCACTTGAATGGCCTCCTGGGTTGGAAAAAAAGGAAACGGGTCTGAACAAGCGACAAGAGAGATGCTGGCATCGTTGGGAAGGGACAGGTTTCAAGAGATAGATACCTTTCGGGGTTGAAATTCTCTGGTTTATTCGTTGGTGCCGGACTCAAGTCGTCATTAATGATCGGCTTGAAATTCAGCTTCGTCAAAGAGGATGGAGTTGCTGATGTGACTTCTGCCATTTTCTCTTATTCGTGTTGCTTAGATCGAAGTATATTGAGAGATAGCGTGAAAACATGAAAATAAAATTGTCGATTAGGACTATCACTTGACTCATACATTTGGGTCCTCAATGTTTCTTGTCTCCTGATCGGAGGAGCCATTGTTTACATATCGGACTGAGTATATTGCAAATCAGACTCATTCGACACCAGGCCGCCTGACATTATTGTTCCTGACCCGAGAAGATCTGGCGATATCTGATCAAGACCGTAAGAGGATCATCCAGGTGTGCCTCGTCAACTTTCATGAGTCATGTTGACAGATATGGCAGATTCGCAAACTCAGCTCCGGCCGTTCTCGGCTTCCCAGAGGTGGAAACTTCTCGGATGCTCATCGGAACGGTGATCCCGATCCCTGGCTCCCGCTCCAAGACCATTACACCCGAGACATGCATGTCACTCCACATTGCAATATGCCACATGCATGCCGACGATCCTAATACCACATTAAACACCATGAATCTTCCTTGTGATGACGGGCTTTTTGGTGAACCGTTATTGGTGCTGACTTGAGAGGCGATAAATGTACCTAAGCCGGCCTATTAATAGATGGGATAGATTGGGCATATGTTTACTCTACTCAATATTCAAGTCTCACATTCTTACGTCACACGACACAGGTTCTAGCATGTCCTTTCCCAAATCTTAGTTGACAAACCCAGGCCTATTTATTGGAAAGTCGTATATCAATGGGCGATGGGTGTCGTTGACGTGAAACAAGACTTTCCAAATCTTCAAACCCTGCATCCGAGGAACGCCTTGGAGCATGCCCTGAGTCCAATATCGCTGACTTGACCAACGACATTGAAGCTGTAGCCAAGGCTTTTCCATTACAGAAGGCAGTTTCTGGTTTCCAGCGTGGACGCATCATTGGACGCGTCTCCGATATTCTGGTCGAGAATGGGAAGATCTTGGCAAAAGCATGACTGCCAAAAATGGGAAGTCAAGACATCGATGCAGCGGGGACCCATGGTCCTCTAACGAATGGTTTCGGCAAGGTAGCAGAGCACATTCAAGACACAGTTAGCTATTTCCTCCCAGGCGGAAACCGACTTCCGTCTATTGGGAAGAACTTTCATGAGCTCACAATCCTAGGTGACGTTAACGACTCTGTGAAAGTCATGCAAGAAGAAACCTTCGGACCTCTCGCAGCACCAACGTAATTCACAACCGAGAAAGAGTCTTTCGAAAGAACCAAAAGTCTGAGGTGGGATTAACGTTGTACATTATCTCAAATGATCTAGCCAGATCTCATCGTGTGTCGGAAACTTTGGAGTATGGCATGGTTGCCATTAACAATGGCTTTATTTCAGACGCTTGCGCATTGTTAGTCACAGAAGCGCTGTTGATTACTTTCAGAGACTTAAGAGATGAACTCACCAACGAAAGGTTTGGAGACGTAAAGTATTCTGGGCTCGGTCAAGAAGGGAGTGAACACGGTCTGAAACCCCACTTTCCATCATAAATTATAGTCACTGGGGATTTTAGTGCCAACTTGTGATAAGAGAGGCATTCTTACGAAGTAGGGTCGACTGCCATTTCATCTTGCAACACCTGCTACATGGCGTGTTGCCTCGCGTTGAATGGGGGAGCCTGCATTCTTGTTCCACGACAAAAACCTCTTCAGCGACTTCAGTATCATTATCGAGTGTCGTTAAAATTTCAATCTAGTTTCGCTTTTGTTCTACATATCAAAGCAGTCCCTCCTAAACAAGGTGCAGGGTTCCGTTGTTGTTTCCGATTCTCTCGTCCAAGTTGATAGAGCTGCGGACCCACTGTCCGTTCCGGGACAGCTCGGCCTCAAGGACCTGGCCACCCTGCACCAGGCGCGCATCCCGAGCAGAGGCACCAAAGTTGCCACCAGAGCTTCCGCCACGGCCTGGGATCTGAAGGACCTGACCAGGCCAGATCTGGTCCGGGTTGGGGATGTTGTTGAGTCTGGCTATCTCTTCAAATCCGACGTTGAATCTTGCGGCGATATTGCGGAGGGTGTCACCCTGCTGAACGGTGACGGAAGAGTCACCGCCGCCGCTGCTTCCAGAAGACCAGCGGAAGCTACCCTGGTCATTTTCGAGGATGCGGTTCAGGCTAATGGTGCTGCTCTGCCATTCGCCGTCGCGACGCTTGCACGACGCGTGGAGGTTGTACTCTCCGTGTGCATCAAGGCGGATATCTCGGGAAGAGCCTGTGAAACCGCCGGCGTAGTTGCCGCTGCGGGGTTTGTCGTCGTTGTGGCCGCCGTGGTGGTGCTCCTCCGGACGATCATGCGGCCGGTCGTGGTCATTCTTGTGGTCATTCTTCTTCTCCTCGTCGCGCTTGTCCTTCCAGTCAGATACACCATCCTGGAGCTTGTGGCCGGCAAAAGCGCCGGCAACGGCACCGATCAAGGTGCTTGTCTTGCTATGGCCAAAGTTGCCGCCGACTTTGTGACCGCCGAAAGCACCAGCAGCGCCACCGGCCAATGCACCCGTTAGACCACGCTCACCATCCTCACCTTCCAGGCCAGCGGAACCAGGCGGGCCATCATTACGGTAGCCCTGATTCTGGTGAGGGAGAGGCGAGAAGTTTTGCTGGTGATGCTGAGGAAGTTGACCGTATCCCTGATGGCCTTGGCCGTGCTGGAAGAAGTTCTCAGGACCTCCTTGGGAAGAGTAGTATGAGTTGGCCTCACCAACGTGAGGGCGATCTTGCTGGTAGCCACCTTGTTGGTAACCACCCTGCTGGTAGCCGCCGTTATTGTTGTATTGGCTCATGATGGCGATGATGATTAATGGATGGATATCAAGCTTTGTGGTTATCGTTGGTGATGTCTCGGATCAGATACCGGGACTTCCATCTTGAATGCGGGGAAATGAGGATTATATAAACTTCTTTGAGCCTCCAAATACGGGTCTACGAAGCTTGTGATACATAAGAGTATTTACACCGCCGCCATGGTGGGGAGAGGCTCATGAAAGTCTCGACTCAGGAGGTCCGCGCGTATCCCCTTTTCGGTCCAATCGGGACTACCGCGTCAAGGTTCACGGCCCACCGCGCAGGCACAGCCCCGGATATCGGCACGGCTCTTGGTATGTAAACAGACGCGTCCATGTCTGGGCACCCTCGGGCCTCTGCCACGTAGCTTCTCCTGATGTTTCTTAAAGCTTCCGAATAGGCCAGACAGAGCTAAACAGGACTCAATGGGGCCGTCAGGAGCCCTTCCCCCAAAGACCCGCCAAAAGCCCCTCGATGTCCATGAGGCCCCCCAACAGCGCCACAATGAGCCCTTCAAACCAAGATAATCGGATTCCGTGCCACCCTGAACCCTTTCCCCGCACAGTGGCTGAGGGAAGAATGGTGTTAGGTACCTCGGAAGGTAATAATATCCGATGTTTCTCAGAAAGAGACCAGCTGATGAAGCGTGGCGGTGAAAACCCACAGCATTCAGCGACAACAACATGCAGTGTTCGGTGACATCCACAAGGTTCGCATTCACGTATTAGTTATCCGAGTGCGAATCCAACATCTGGAGCTTATCTGCTTAGAATTTTACCGAACGGCACATTTTGGATAATATATAGGAAGTCGTTTACTAGACCAAAGAGCTCCGCATTGACTGGCCGGGTTCCAAGTCCACCTTCTTCGTCTACACTAATTGTCTGCGGAGTCCCACTTCAGTCTCGTTTATCGCCATCGCCGTCTCGTGTTCGTCAACCGTAGAGTGGATCCACACACTGGATCGGCGTCCCCGGGCTCAACGAACCAAACGCGTCTAATGATCATCCACTAGTAGCAAGCAGATGATGATGATTGCCCTTGTGGAGTTACCGAATAATATGCCGATAGCCCATCGTTCTTGGAGAAAAAGGCCGTGGCCGTGAGCATCTCTACAGCCACAAGCCAGACGAGTGCAATCCTAGTTCCATGTGATTAAAGACGAATACGACAAGGAATTCTACCTCTGCTAACGTCCTGGGCTCACAAAATCTGGGATGGATAAAAATCTTTTGGCGCAAATGATGATTTGAATCACCAAGATCTCGGCAGAAGTAAATTTAACCAGCTTTTGCAGACAGCATTCGTCAAAGTATGACGCGACTTGTTTGATTGGTCTTCCCACTATCTTTTGCGTATTTGGCCGCTTCAAGTGTCGTGATAGCACAAAAATATTGTGGAGAGTATCAGTATATCGAACAAAAACAGGCCGGGTTATCTTGATTAACACTACCAAAAACATTTCGAAGTCCTTTTTCGTGCCATGTCATTACTACCTGAACCAGCATCTCTGTAGAAAGACAGTTTGCTAGCCATAGAAGTCTTGTCTCTGGCAGCTCTTTATCTTTACTCGATATACCAGAGTAAATCTGCTCAACTATACCTAAGCTGACACCCCTACTGTTTCTTGGGTTCGTTTGATATTTATTCAACACGAAACAGAAGCTTTCTCAATTAATTCGGACAGCATAACTGGAATGGCTGCACACCCAGCTTCCAGAAGAAAATCTTGGAAGAAGAGCAGTCGCTCGTTGTCGTAATCTCTGGTGGACACCATACACAATGTACCAGCACTTTTCTTGCTCCGTGGGTGTACCCATGAATATGCAGGATGCCGATATTATAACACTGCTCGATCCACCGAGCATACTATGCACACAACGTGATGCGATTTCCAGCCTTCAAGTTAGACTCTCACATCTGCTCTCATCATTATCACCAGTAAGAACCCGTAGCCTCTCCGTGTACAATTCCCTACTTCTTTCACAGCTGTTTACAAGTCGGAAAAATCACCGCTCGACAAGTTTCTCCAAGCAACAAGGTATATTCCTCACACAACGGTTGGCCACGCTGAGGGAATAGAGAATTACTCGGGTTAAGTTTCTAAACTCCGTAGACGCCACGCCAAAGGGCACAAGAGGGTTGACCTTGCTCTATCACCAGGTTCGTATCATCAACTGTGAATCACACTACTACTTGTTCAGTATCGATATCTGGTCATCGACTGACATAAGTATTTATTTTTCAGTGTGTTATTTTGGTGACAAGGCCACTGCTTCTGTCTGCTTTATAACAAGAAATAGAGAGATTCGATGCTGGTCAGGGAAACAGAGAAAACCTGTCGGCCACTTTGAAAACCTTGATTTCAACGGGTATTCTGAAGAAACTTCAGATATTATCAAGCGAAGTTAGCCTCCTGGGTGAGTATCCTAGTGTAGCTAGGTGGTGTTTTTGGTGAAACCTTAATTGGTGAACATATTGAACAGAAATCTTCCTGCCCTTTGAACTTGAGTATTCTTACGTAGGGCCATTCGTTTGACGATCGCAAATGCAATCTGCCGTTCCGCATCCGACATGGATGGATCGGCTTCAAGCCAGTAGGTATATTTCATTCTAGACCGCATGATCCTCAGAGGCAATCCCGTTGCGGAGGTTCGGAAAGCCGAGTTTATTTACCCGGAGTGGTTGTTCAAAGAGCTCACCGGACGGTTCAGTGAGAAGGGCTTCCAACGAAGGAGACTGTGGGTGTCAATCGAGGCAAGCGACAACAGACGTTGCCATGAATGAGCAGGACTTGCTGTCGATGACCACCCTCGGTCGATCACAGGCGCATACTGGTCGTTTCTCGGAGTTTCCAGACAATACTAAATTTCCTCATAAAATCGGTATCTTGTCTAAGGACTTCTTCTCGATTGTGGAACAGATGAGTAGTCAAGACGATTTGACCTTTTCGACATTAGAATTAGGACAGTTTTGGAGATAGCTCGGACAGAGTGGAAGTAATCGAGTGAATGGTGGTTTGCACTATCCAGTTTATCTATCATTAATGGGTTCTCTTAATTGCATCATTTTCTGGCGTTATCTTTCTATCGAAGCTAGGTTGCTTCGTGACTCAGCACGCGCCAACGGATGATTTGCTTGATTCTGAATATGAACAGTAAAGCCCGTCAATTTGTGGTACACAAGCGATCATTCATCAAGTTCTTGTGACAAAATGTGTATCCATAGAATTTCTATCCTATTAGCTACCATCCGGTGTGATAATATCCATCCCAGGTAAGTTGATGTTGTACGTGTGGGTGCTGCTGCTGCATATGGATTGGCTGGTATCCTGGATCCTGCTGCCACATTGTTGGTTGCGTCTGGGCTGGGGTTGTGGGAGAGGTCATCGTCGTAGATACTGATATTACCGAAGCATGCTTCATATTATAGCCTTGGTCAAGGAGAGGAACTTCCATGTTGGGATCCGGCTGAGCGATGTGCGTAGCGTGATAGCCGGCAGGCATGTGGCCCGTCAAGCCGTCTTCCAAACCGACTATTGGACTTGTCAGTGCATTGCAATCAAGATGCGACCCTTTTCTCTTAGTGTTCCTAACTTACAAGCGAGGATGTAAAAGATTTCAGCCAAGATCGGTGCCCACGCCGCCAGAGCAAGAACCTGGCCAAAGGTCCATTTGTCGTTTTTGTCGAGGCCATCAGCTGCGTCAATGATCTTCTGACGGAAGTAAGTAAAATAGGCCAAGATCCCCCACATGATAAGCATGTTGATCCAAGCGATCATAATTCGCCACATAGATCGCCATCTTTTGACCCATGGCTTGTCGACCATGCCCGGAATCTTGAACCCAGTAGTGACAAAAACCGTGAGGACAAGCCACAAAAGTGGTAGGCCGACAACCAAGAACTGTGTGGCTTTGACAACGTGCCAGTACTGCGAGCCGCGCTGATCACATTCAAAGTTCCTTTGGCCGCTCTTCCGAAGTGAGTAATCGAGTTCACCTCTCGGGGCAAGGTAGACGACGGTAACGCTGAGACCCCAGAGAAGAAAGAGAACCGACCGGTGCAGCCACTTCCGGTGTCCGTCGTGTTTGGCAAGTGCATACAGCAGCATGACGGGGAAGACGGAGAAGTTTGAGGCGATCAGCGCTAGGGCCATCTCGTAGACTGCGTCGGGTGAAGGGAGGTCTGGATTCGCTCCAGTTCTCTCCATGACATTGGTCGCACTGGCGTACACGGACGCCCCCAGCATGGCCACTGAGATCAGCATTGCACCACCCAAGAATATATCTAACGATCCGCGGAAAGCATCAAATATTCTACTTCCAAATCCTTGTTTATGTGTTGGTCGGGGTTTCTCGTACACGTTCTTATGTAAATGTTGTCGCATTTGGTGAATAGTGAAGGCTAGAAGGTACATTGTCGCTAGAATCCCTTCAAGATAGTAGGAGACGACCACCTGATATTAATCAGTTTGTGAGACTTATCTAACTTTAGTCGGCGATACATACCCCAATTCCACACAGGTCTTGGTTTCCGGTGTACCCAACAGCCTTGCAGAATTCAGTTGGGCAGTGTGGCTTTGGACCGTATAAAACAGTCGAGTTGAAGCGTTCGCTGAAGAGATAGTACTCGGGAATAGTCGAGTTTTCAGGGTACGGGGTATGATACATATTGTACGCAAACCACTTAGCCACTTCGTCAAATGTCGTGTGATATCCCTTGGGCATGGCTGACGCATAGTAGATCATTGCCGATTCAACGCTCATTCCTATTGTTGTCTTCGGATCCCAGGAATCTGTTTGCAGCATAGCTGATAGCCAATGTCCCCAGTGAGAGCAGTTGCGGTTGAAGTCAAGCTGTTCCCAGGTCAGGTTCTTAGAACCCGAGGCATCGGTTCCTGGAACCCAGAGGTCCATTTCCTCCCAGTAGCTGGAAGCCATAGCGAGACAGGCAGCAGCTTCGTTGTGCCTTGATTGGCAAATTCAACCTCCTCAATAGACAATGGGAAATGACGCAAGTGGATTTGGATGCATGATTGAGGACAAGAAGTCTGGGCAGTCAGGGTTCAAATCTGAGCGGGACACAGAGACACTTTTAAGTGCTACATCCTCCAGGTAAACGTCTTCAGCTTTGGTTTCTTGGCATCAATCTCAGGTCTACAGCCGCAATTCCTTCCTTTATCCCAAGCGTCAAGAATTGTCTGTTATTTGGGCCGGTTCGATGCGGCTGAACGCCATGCTGACGGCTAAGACGAAAAATGGAGTGACTGATCGCGAATAAAATCAGGTAGTGCAGTCACTAGCGTAAGCCACCCACCCTAAAGCGATTTACGAATGTGCACCTAGCTGGTTCCCAACAAGGCTAGCCATTCACAGTGTCTACAAAACGCCATCTCGCTTTTGGAGTATCTGCCTATGGAGAGGTTAAGTCGTAAGCTGGCCGTTGGTGGTTAGGGACAACTTCAGTGAGACCTACGGGAACGTTTAGTGTTATCATCAATAATAGATCAGTTAGAGATGATCTTGCCAATTCCATTACAGCATGGCAGTTCGATTGAGCAAAGATGTACATCTTGACAAGTTTGATGTTGTTTCCAACATGTCTGTTCCAATCGTCCTTCCTTGCCCAGCCGGCGCCTCTTTCCTCAGTATTGTTGCATACCATATATGGACAGAAGTACCGGTTGATGTGCGGGGCTGAAGATGAGAAATCATTTGGATTTACACCGGAATGAGCTACAAGTGTTGTGCAGAAAGTATTTTGTAATGCAGTCATTGTCGATGGACGACTATAAAGTTTCTGTCTTACAGTACTGTCTGGGAATTTACTGACCGATCTGCATGTTCGATAACTTCCGGCATGACTTGGATATCAAGTCCTTCAAGGCTACTGTCTACGAATATTACTTTTAAGATTGTCCATATTCTACACAGGCGGTATCTGGAAACAATCATAGTCAATGGCTTGTATCGCTCAGTTACGAGCCAAACAAAGTCGATCTGGCGTCGGCGCGATCCGGGGTGAATGCACTAGCGTCGGGAACTTGTGGTGGCGGAGTGAAACAGGGGCACAAATCCTCCGTCGCTGCCACATCGCGCGATATTCTCTAGCTTGTGGCAGGGGATTGCCGCCTTGAAATACTGAGGGACACTATTGTCATAAGACAATTCGTGACTGCTCACTGGCGAGGAACATGCCGGTAGGCGCACCCAGCAGTCTTCGCTTGATAGGTAGCGACAGCAGCCCTAGCACTAGTTTGGCCTTTAACAAATACATCAATTATTCTGACTGTTTTAGACAACCCCGTTGCAGCCACCTGCTAAAGAGAATATTTCCCTTCTTGGCATCATCTGTTCGAGTCAGCCTTACTGTTCTGCCTACATCGTCATGGCTGGACGATGGCTCCGACTAACGACCTCGCTCATGAGGCTCTTGCTCGTGATTAGCAGATGGCTGATTCCTCCTCAATCGCAATGACGGCATTTCTCATGGTTCCGAGCACATTTATATTCCCAAACAGTCATAGTTCTATTATTCTTGGTGGTGCGATGACCGATCTGGCGATGCTTTCGGTATGTCACATGTTCACCTACTCTTCCCACCTCAACTGCAGTATGTCTTAAATACTGAAACTATCGCGGCACTCCACTTCGGAGCCTTCGTAGTTCTGGTAAGCCGGTGATTATGTTCGACTTTACTGGTTTCCCAATGCCTTGGGGTGGGAATGCCCCTTGAGTCCCGTGCACATCCACAACGGATGTTACCTTCATCTTGGGGGCGTCACCTAAGCCGGCCCACGAAGGTTCTTCGACCCAGTGGCATATATGCGTCACCCCGCAATGGAAATGAAGACGCCCACTGTCACGTAAGACTGCATACCACTGAATGGCAACTTTGGACACGACAAGGGCATCAACCACTGCTTCCAAACCTTCTCGGAAAACTACGAGGTTCATTGTCGCATGGATGCGGTCCTCGTGGTATAAATTCGCCGTAATCTACGGATCCGTGGTCTTACTCGCTGAGTAGCACATCGCTTACCAACCTCACAGAATAAAGTGTAGTCGTCGTTGGCAATGACTGAGAAGGTTCTGCACGCAACCGCAAGGTACAGATGAAGCGTTGTTGGCTCTTGGCAATGACACATGGGACTATGTACGGCTTCGGACGCACGCCAGAGCGTTCTCATTCTTTTTGGTACCTGCTTTCTACGACCACTGGTGCTCAAGGACATTTGTTAGTTACTGGAACAAGTTGAACAATACGTTTCCTGAAGATCAGCGCATGAAAGCTCGTCTGGGGCGAGTCTTTCTGCTCCTTTACTAGATGAACGTGGCCATGACCGGGGTAGCGACTGTCCTAATTTACAAGAGACGACAAACGAATGGAAATATCAAGAGCTGGGGAGAAGGACAGCTTCTAAACGACGCCTGAGTCTCGGAGATGGAACCTTTGGCTGATATGAGGACGGGAGATGTAGAAGACCCTTGTTCTTGTGACGGAGACGAAGTTATAGTTTTACAGAGTCCACGCAACTGAACAAGGTTGTAGGAAGTGAACGAAGGCCGGTGTAAGGTTCATTATCTGAGCTACCACCCATACATTTGAGCTGGATTGCGTGGTATATTGACAATGTCTCTTGAAACAACGTTTTGTCTAAATGAAGTACTGCTGTTCACTTTTTGAAGCTTTGAAGCAGTCCTTGAAGGTTTATAAACCTGCAATACCTCTCCGACGGCTCGAAAATATGCACTTATAGCTAACACCTCTATCTCTGTTGGGAATGTCAGTTGAAGTCTCTTTTCTCATTTAAGACCCCCGCAACATCTTGATGATGGCTCCTCGCTCTGGACGCTATTCTGTCGCGAATACCTTCGCCGAGCGTGTCTTCCAGTACCTTGAAGACAACCGCCCCTCTGACGCTCAAGCCGACTTCTCAAGCCCGTTGCCCAAGAAGCAGAAGCCCGTTAAGCCAAAGGCTGCAGGTCCCCAAACTCTACCAGCCCGCAGCAACACAGTTGAATCTTCTGATTTCTACTCTCAGTCTGAAGCTTGTAAGCCCACTTTTCAGCGCGCCGGCCCCACAGACAACAGCCATGTCCAACGACTAATAGCTAGCTACGAAGCCCGTTCACATGGGGCTGAGGAGGTGGCCTTGGGAGCTGGTCGTCGTGAGCGCGAGGCTGCCGCTGCAGTAATCTTGTCGCTTCAAGATAGTACTCCTGATGCTCAACAGGAAAAGTCGTCTTTTTGCCATGGTTGCGTTGCTGAGGAGGAGAAAGAATGGATTAAGGTCGTTGATGCCGATTTGGACTAGTTAGCAGTATTGGTCACTTCAAGATCAGCTTTTATTGTTGCTGGTCCCCAAGTAGCTAAAAAGGAAAGGAAAACTATACAACATATGTATTCCCCTTGTCACTGACTCAACTATTGATCTAACTATTTCGCTGTTACCGACTCAGCAATACAATTAGGCTTAAACCAGCTACATAAGCCTTTACGTCAAGCAGACAGCAGTCAACCCAAAAGCCAGTGCAAGTGTTAAATCGCGGTTTCATCATCGCAAACGTATCGGTCCATTCGGCAGGGCTCAGAAGAAGACCCTATATAATGAGACTCTTCGAGCCGCCAAGGGTGTTTACTGGAACAATGTTATCATCTATTCCCCCCTACTTAGTCAATAAGGCCCTGACGTTACGATGACGGCGTATCTCCGATCCACTTCGCGGACAGTATAAGTAGGCTTGTCGGCATCCACTGTTGTACTCGACTCGGCTTACTCAGCTCAGCAGGGCGGAATATTAAGTTCATCGTCATCCCCACCTCGTTTCGGGATTGCGTCTGAGACGGAACTTGGCAACAGTCGAATACAGCTTCAGTCCGTAAACATGAGGACGCTTACATTAGATTTCTTTCTTACGATACTCAGTGGCACCATTCTCCACCCTCTCATCTCCCTTTTGGTGCCATGTGGACTGGTTCTGTCGGGATATGAACCCAATCCTGTTGAAATGGGGACTGACTTTGCGTCCATGAGATGGACCGTATCGTCATCCTGCAGGATGCGTTTGGCGTTGTGGTGCGTCGCCTTTTCCTGGGCTATATCGCTAAACTGCGTCTGGAACCGTAAGGCGCTCAATCCGGCGCCTAAATCAAAGCCAGACTTTTCGCAAGAGGTAGTTGTCGTTACCGGAGGTAGGTCATATGATAAGTCTTATCCGTCCCGATGCTCTGGGGGATATGCTGTTGACACACGCGCAAATGAAGGGTCCACCGGTATCGGTGCCAAACTCGTTCGCAAACTGGAAGCTGCTGGTGCCATGGTCATTATACTCGATGTAGCACCCCTAAGCTATATGGCCGGCCCCAAGACGTCGTACATAAAGTGCAACATCGGCTCGAGCGACGACGTCCGTGCAGCAGCCAAAATCATCCAGCATCAACACGGCCAAGCATCCATGCTCGTTGCCAACGCCGGAGTCGTCCGTGGAAAGACAATTCTGGATGCCACCGACCAGGACCTCAAGTTGACCTTTGACGTGAACGTCCTCGGCCTCCTGTGGACTATTCGCGCGTTCCTCCCCGGCATGATTTCTAAGAATCACGGCCACGTGCTCGTCACTGCATCTTCGACAGCCTTTGTAACGCTGGCCGGCATGTCAGACTATTCAGCCTCAAAAGCCGCGGTCAATTCGCTGATTGAAGGCCTCCATACCGAACTTAAGCACAGGCACGGCAACCCTAGCGTGGCAATCAGCGCGATCTACCCCGCAACCATCGGTACAGCTATGTTCCAGGACCTGGACGTCCCCAATACGTTCATGACGCCCATACTGGATCCGGAAGAGGTTGCCCAGAGAATGTTTGATATACTATCCAAAGGCCAAAGGTACGTTTTGGCCGGCTACTTCATTCTGTATCCTAGAGATCCCACCCCCGTTGACTGACTTATTCTTTTGATCCTGCAGTGAGACCGCTTATATGCCGGCTTTTGCCGCAGTGCAAACGTGGTGTTGTGTGGTGCCGACCTGGATTCGCATATGGGTTCAAGACGTAGGGGGCCACATGTCAGACAAGATGGGAAGGAAGAGGAACGAAGGATAACGCATTTGGTTGTAAAAGCCTCTCAGCGGGAAGTGTTTTTCAACGGCCGTCTCAGGTAAGGCACATGCACATTCAAACCATAATTGGAGTCTGCTCTCTCTTTACCATGTCGACCCTTGTCAACATTCAATTCTGGTTTGTGAGTGGGTCAGGCTCTTATCAACACAAACTAGGCGTCCATTCCATGTATTGAATATGTTGTAGTCCTGATACTATTTCGCCGGAACTACATGCAGCACAAACTAAGCGACGGAGAAAAATCAGACCGTCCTCGAGTAACCCCCAGAAACGGCGCTTGCTAGGAGAAGAGGAAAGGAAGGTTATCGGCAAGATAGACGACGAATTAATGTGATCAGGAAGGATTTTAACGACGTAGTAGGGTCTGCAATGCATGGTGATGTACACCTGATGTGACTAGGAGGGAGCGGATATGTTGATAAAGGGCTTTCGAGGGTCTTGGAAGAGTATTTGTTATTGGAGGTAGGTGCTCGGAGCTATGGAAGCTTCCCAGCACTGAGGGAGAGCGCGGGGTTTAGACGCAGAAAGGAACCTGGTATGGGAACTCTCGCAACAGATTTGAGAGAGTACAATAGGCAAGAGCGCTCTTAGGTGCAGCGGAAGTAGACAGCAGAAGGCGAATGAAGAGCGGAAAGTAGAAGATACCATCATGAATCTCCACCAAACCACTCTTTCCACGACTACCTATGAATCCCTCTGCTGCTAGGGGCTGATTCTGTAAAAGTCAACTCTTGCCCGGCTCTCCTGATTTGATCTGTCCTTTCGCGTCTCATTCCAACAGCGTGCCCTTTCCCGTAGATCTATCAGCCCACTATCCTCTTTGCTCCGGTATCTTGTTCCTTTCCCCTGGGCCATGCCACTTCTTTTGCGTCGGTCCCTTCTTTCTGCGGCGAGGCAGGTCATGTAGCTTACACCTAAGCCACATTTGTAACAGGGTATATGTACGTTTCAATAAAGCTGCTGCTTTCGAGCAAGCACTCATCAAATAGTACAGTTGGCCGGCTCCGCTCTTTTTTTTTTTTCTTTTTGCCAACTTTTCAACAGTTGTAGGCTCGAATCGCATATCTTCCGCGCTTTTGTTTTTCTCCCACAAGAAAGTATGATCTTGCTTTGCTTACCCTAACTTACCTCAAGTACCATTTGAACCGACTAAAGCAGCCACTTTAAGGTGGGTAGCTGGGTGAGGTGAATGCACCCGGACGGCATAGTGCGGTGCCACTGCATCACATGCCGATGCCTTGGCCGAATTGGCCGATGGCAGTGGATGGCACTTTATCTCAGCTGCTGTCTTAGGCAAAGTAAGTTGGCGTGTAGTCGTAGAGAGAAACGTTGGGATGATTAGCCCTCAACGGCTGGCATAATCTAATTCGTATCCTATTCTGATGGTAGGCCTCCCGCATCAGCGCAAATCTTGTATCTCGCCATGCATTCCGGACGAATGCATCCCTGTGACATTATGCACTGTATCGCTGCTAGATCTAGAGCGCCTGCGGGAGGCCAACCAGCTAACCACCAATCACCCTAGCTATAGAGCCGCATGGCGTTGTTGTCTTTTTGGGTTGAACAGTCAGTAGGGAAGTGAACCTAAGTATGCACCAGAGATGGCCACCTTGTCTTACTCCAAGACACTTTTTCAGTAATGTCTTGCGGAGAGTTTATGGTATAGCATATGAATGAGACTGGATAACGGAACTTGCCATGGTTCTGGCGGTGTACCTGCAAACGTACCGCAGTGACTACCTGTGGATAATTGAAATAGAGTCGATGCCCACAGCTTCGAGAAAGAATGCTCTCCCATCCACAGTTCACAGACCGCAGGGATCCCTTGCGTAAGACCCTCTCAGACACAGGGCCCATTGGCAGCCTTCTTTCGGACGCTGACGACTCAGTAGGATGACTTTCAAATGCTATACGTGTCTGGCAGTATGGGACTACCGTATGTCCCGGGATCAACATGTGGCCTCTAAGGGTCATGTTGCCCCTAGCTTCGAGTGCGACAGCTGTGGCCGGTGCTTGAAGAGCCAGAAAGCCGTCGACCAACATAAGGATGATCTCGACCATTGGACGGACTCGGCTTTGACCTCCCTTATCGAGCCCATGCATAGCATCGGTAACAAACCCAACAACTCATACTTCACCCAGAAAGCTGTGCAAGCATTGCTTCCTATTACACCCTCAGTCGAACCAATGCCCGCAGCGTCCAAGGTTGAGAACAGTATCGACAAAACGATGGAAAACGACGCGGATCAAATAACTGTTCATATGGAACATCTAAGCTTTGACGCCGCCGCGCAACAGCAAGATGAGATCCTTTCCAGCCCTCTTCTAACCGTTTCTCTGGTTAATAATTCGCTCCCTTCTCAGTTCGGTCTTTTCGGCGGCACCGTATCTGAAGATCGCCCGATCTCGCAAGCGTCGCGCCTATTTCACAACGTCACTTGTCCCTCTAGCGTGTTCATATGTGGTAGCCAGGGTTCGGGCAAAAGCAACACGCTCTCGTGCCTTTTGGAAAACTGCCTCATACCAAGCAACCTTGGAAGGCTGCCGCGACCTCTCACTGGCATAGTATTTCACTTTGACAGCTTTATGTCGGATGCTGGCGGCCTTCCCTGCGAGGCAGCGTTTCTAGCATCCCATAACAAAGCTTCAGTCCGAGTTCTTTGTGCTCCTACAAACATTCGTACCGTCCAGGTACCATTACTCATCCTTGACTTACTCTAGTTAAAACTGAAGAGACGTATTTTCTAACTTATTGCTTTACTTGTAGGATGTTTACAGTCGCATTCCACGAGTCAAAGTCGAGCCTCTCAAGCTGAGCGATCAAGACCTTAACACCAAGCGAATGCTTGACCTTATGGCAGTCGGGGAGGGCAGCATGCCACTTTACCTCCACGTGGTAACCCGCATTCTCCGGGATATGCGTTTAGAGCAGCAGAAGAAAGGACATCCGTTCAGCTACCTTTCTTTCAAAGAAAAATTAGCCCAGGCGGATCTTACCTTAGCGCAACAGGGCCCCTTGGCCCAGCGTCTAGATATGCTGGAAAGCTTCATGGTCAATGGAAAAGCCAAGCACGAAAGGATTGATTGGCAACCAAAGGTAAGGCTGGTCCGCTGATTTCTACCACTGATCCGATTGACTGACATCATTGGCAAGGCTGGTCAACTCACAATTGTCGACCTCTCCTGTCCTTGCATTACGGCAGAGATGGCATGCTTACTCTTCAACATCTGCCTCTTGGTCTTCTTGGAGCAAAAGTCACACATGGGCAAGGTTGTTGCGCTTGATGAAGCGCACAAATACATGCAAGAATCCAACGAGAGCAGAACCTTGACTGGTTCGCTGTTAAAAACGATTCGCCTGCAGCGACACCTTGGCGTTCGCGTATTCATCTCTACTCAGGAGCCCAGCGTGTCGACGAAGCTCCTTGACCTGTGCTCGATGACAGTTGTACATCGGTTCACTTCGCCGGATTGGCTGCGCACTCTGCGCGGTCATATCGCAGGAGTCTCATCTGTCTCAGTTACCGCATCAGAACAGCAGGAAATGGTTAGAGATGTTGACCCACTTGTGATTGGGGAAAAGGATCCGGTCTCTGAACTATTTGCTAAGATCGTATCTCTGCAAACAGGGCATGCTCTTGTATTCGCGCCCAGCGCAGTCATTGGACGAGGAGAACAGATGGCAAATATGACGGCAGCCATTGAGCGATTGGCCCATAGGCCCCTCATGGTCAAGGTCCGGTCCCGCCTGACACAGGACGGCGGAAAGTCGGTGATGAGCTAGGGGTGTTAAGGTCGTATTCTGAAAGCAATGATTGACGAATATAGTTATGGGAAGAGCCTCGGCGATGGTGAAGATAAAAGCTGGACACTCACAAGTTATTGTCCCACGCATATGAATTGAAGTGTTCAGTGCAGAGTATTGAAGTAGAAAGACGATCGCTCACTCAATAGAACTTTGAAGTGTCTCGCATCATGATTTTTTGTATGCAACAGCGACTAAATATGGCTGTGGATCCTCAGAGGTGCACAGGTCTTCGCCCTCGCCAAGGATATATCTCTCAGACGCGAGCATTGGAGATGTTTAAACAAAGCTCATGTGAGCTGTTAACACAAAGGTGCTTGGGTCAAGACAACCCATAAGTCTTCGCACCTGTTCACTGAAGCTGCTAGCCGGCAGGATTTTACATGCAACTTCTTCAAGCGCTATCTATGAGTCGAATATATAATCAATGTCACTCATCTCCCAGATGAATCCCGAATATTTTAATTCTCATACGCGAGTTTGCAATATCCTAACGTGAGTCCCTGCCAGATACAGTAGTTTATTCGCCCAACATGACGCAATTAAACGGTAGTGGCCATGTTATGCCCACTCTCTCCGTCCTCACAGAGGACACCAAGCATAAACACTTCGATACGTACCTTCTCTACCCCGAGGACCAGGCGCCTCCTGTCTCTGGTAGCTGTTCAGTCACCGACGACTCCGATGACTCTTCCGAATACATCTCCAATACTATTGTCACCACGGATCCTTATGATACGTCTGCTGAAACGACTCTCAACCTCACAGGGCTCGGTGCCTTGCCTCTGACTTCGATAGATGCCTCGAGCACACCACCCAAGCCGGCAAACCACGTTGATCTCCATGTTACTTCTTGTGCGATCGAGTGTCCTCAGGTACAGAAGCGTCACAGGAAACGTTTGAGCACCTTGAAGCGAATTCTGGAGCAGGACTTTAGCAAAGAAAACAGGGTATTTTTGACGGACCAACCGCCCTCTCATCAGGTAAACTCTTCAACGGCAAATCAGCTAAGTTTCTTGGGACCAGGATTTCCAACAATAGACAAGACATCCAAAACAACCACTTCTCACGATTCCCACTACCGGATCACTGAGAAACGGCATCCCGCCTCTAGTCTCTTCGTCCATAACAAGCATCTCTTCCCTCGCTGATAAAGAAGGAGCACTGAAGAGCTTTCTCTGGGCCGAAGGCGTTCTCGACATGGCAGCAAATAAGCTTAATAGCGAGGATTGGACTCAAAGTTCAAAAGTAACCTGTGTTTCACTTTCTTCGAAGTCTTCGCAGGGTACTGTAAATCACCACGAGATATTGGACTCCGATCAGCACGACTCGGAGACTGATGCAGATGGCGACTTCATATTCCGAGTTATGGTGCGACTCGGCTCATGGCATAGGAGACAGGTTGCCGAGGGATACCCTTGGAAATGGAGCATGTCCGACGCTATTTTGGCTTTCAAGGTTATCATAAGTACCTACTGTCAGGCGTACTCACAGGGATACGTGACTCTCAATAAAGCCACCCAAAAAGTTCAGAACAAGACCTGGACGCTGTGGTGGGATCGATTTAGACCTTGGACAGAGTGCAAGGGCCCTTTCTTGGCCGAACTTGAAGCTGCTGGTATAGAAGCTAGTAAAGAAGCCAAGGATGAGGATAGATGGTTGGATTTGTTTCCTGATGTCGACTTTTATGAAGGGATTGGACGGTATAAGTCATCATGGTGACCAAATCCGCCGAGAGCTCCTAGAGTGGATCTATCACTAGAGCATTGATGCATTCTTGGCCGAGATATGGACTGATATGCTTAGTACTTAGTTCTAGTTTCTGTTCAATGAAGTCTGTAGTGACGTGGGTTTAATGGAGTAGCAGTCCTGTACCAGTATTCATCGTAGCCGTAAGCTGATGAGTGGTTAATGCCAACTGGTCCCCTCGTGCTACCTGCTACATGGAAACAAGCCGTTGCTTATACTATTATCCGTTGAGCATCAGTATTGCTCAATCTGCCCTTGTCTTTTGCCGTAATCCTAGAGTCTCGATGTCACTCTCACTCTCATGGATTATTTCTAGATGCTTCGTTACTAGTCTCCCCAGATATCAATCACAGCCTCAAGAAGCCCCGTGCTGTCTTTTTAGAGTGCAATGCCGTAAGAATCAAGACAGAAACATAGACAAAAGTTGGATAGGATTCGGCAAGGAGGGAAAGAAGGAGGGAAGTGGCTGCCTGTTTAGTTCCAGTGATTTCTGCATCCAGCCAGTACTCTCATACTCACCAAATCCCTCACTGTTCTTCTGTTGCAAGTGTGAAGTACAGTACCGCCGGGACGCTCCCTAATATGCGTTCCCTGGTCACTCGATCTTAAGGCAATACTTTCTTTCATCAACAATCTACGTAAAGGCTTTCTCTGAATATGTTCTTTACTCGGTTTTAAATCAGATCAAAAATTCTCAAAATCTGCCATTCAGAGTCTGCACCTGTCGTTGAGACTTCACCTCAAGCCCACAGTAAACATTAGCCCAAGATGAATTCTGTCTCATCTCAGCCAACACCTCTCATCCCGAACCATAGTGAGGACGTCTCCAAACATCTTTCCCCCTCAAACCCCATTTCCACCACAGAGTCCGACACCAATTTTGTCAATATTCTAGACTTGGCTGTCAACCAAGCGAAAAAGTACCAAACCAGAGGCAGTATCTTCTCTTTTAATATTCATGCGGCCGACGCCTACCTCTTCCCTCTGACGCACTTCATCTCCTTCATCGCCTTAATCTTTACCTTCCCTTTGAGTATCATTCTGAAGCGCAAATCCGCATTCGAGCAGATCTTGAGAGAAGCCGAGATGGCTCACAAAGGCCTCTACGACTCGCCGAAGCGATGCTTCTTCCCGTCGACTGATAAACAGCACCTCCTCCGCCTTTTCAACGTCGCGGGCTACACAGTACCACCCCCCTACTATTGTTTTTCTCATGTAGTCCTGCTCCACATCACTAATCCTCATCTTAGCATAAGCGAGATCCCAGCAAAGTCACTGAAGACTCTAAAACGAGCCTCCGCGAACTCGACTACATCCTTTGGCAAGAAGGCCTCCCCTCATACCTCGATCGCACCCAACGTTACGACTGCATGTCCGGCGACCCCGTCGATCGGCTTTTCGCGGCCCTCCCTGGCGTCGCCGAGGACGACTGGGGCTTCAAAGAGCCCAGCACAGCAAGCACCCACGACCGCCGCGTTGTCCTCGCACTCTGGCCCTACGCCAACTCCTCCCTAGAGGGCATACTCGCCAACACACAAGACCGGAATGCCCACGACTATTGGTGGGCCACCCGCTTTGCCTTCTCACTCTGGGAGCGCTCCGATCTTTCTATCCGCTGCGCTTTCACCCAGCTCCTCGGCCAGCTCGCTGTTGCCCGCGTCGCCCCCATAGATAATGACTTCATTGACGTCGTCCCAGGCCACGACTGCTGCGAAGAAGGAAAGCCTTGCCCGGGTGAGGCATACATCAATCGGAATGACTGGCTCAAGTACGCTCGGTGGATTCACCGCGGCAGACGGGATTCAGACGCCGACATCAAGAACCGGCAAGACCAGAAGTGCGCCAGCGAGATGAGCGATGCTCTCCACACCAACAAATGCGTCAAGTGCGGCATCGAGCGCGGCGAAACCAGCGCCCCTCCCAAGCAGCGCATGTTTTATTGCTCTGGTTGCTACGTCAGCTGGTACCCTTATCTCCGCCGCATGTACTGCTCGAAGAAATGCCAGAGAGAAGACTGGCCCAAGCACTTCCCTGACTGCCAGCGCCGCAAACACTTCCTCCGCGCTGTTTTCATCTTGAAGGGCATAGCGTCCAAGTTCATGGCGTCTACGTACTCGGGCTCTGCCGTCGACTGCGTGGGCGTTGAGCTCCGTGGAGGGGGCTCAAAGCGGGACAAGGTCGACCGCAGTGGGGTGCCGCGTACTGCCGTATCTCCTGGAGCGTATGCTGTCGGCCACTGGGTTGGACACCAGGTCTTCCCTCTCGGCCAGTCGTTTCTATCGCACAAGCCGACTGCCGATGTTCGCAAGGTATTGGCTTGGGATGCTGGTAACAACATCTACTATCATCTTCAGCCCATCATTGAGCAGGTCATTGGCCGTGAGTCCTAGTGCCCTCCTGCCGTGAGAATGGACTTGCCAGCTGACATTGTAGCCCATTGCGACATGATCGTCGAAACGGAAGTCTTCATCCGCAATGCGAAGAGCATCTCGACCCTTGCGAGTGACACCTGCCGTGAGGGACTCCAGATCCAGATTGCAAAGGGAAAGGATCCCATGTTCTGGCCTCATCCGGTTCTCAACTGCCGGCTTAAAGGCTCCGACCCCGATGACATCTACATCGTCGACCTCCTCGGCGACAAATTCGGGTTTACAGATATTGTCCTGCCTTTCACCGCGTTTATCAAATCAAGGCACGCCAGCTGCGTCTCATCGACGGTCATGAAAGACATGGCACCTCACTGGTACCCACCTAGCCAGAGAGGCCTCGTCACCTGCCGCGATACGGTGTCGTTTACCTGGGCAGAGTGCATCAAGACGTACTTTGCCAAGTATTACCCGAACCTCAAAGGCCCGTGGCAGGTGGCTCGTCTCAAGGAAGACAAGTGGAACGAGAAAGCCCGTGATATCATGACCATTTCGGACGTCATCTTCAAGGACATTACCGACCGCATCCGCCGGCAGGACATCTACCACCAGTACCTCGTTCATGACCCGAACCCGTACTCTCACGAGTTCTCCATTGGCGTAACCAACACTCAGGACGAGTGCGACCTCTACAAGAACATCTGGATGGACCGCCGCACCTACGACATCATCATCAAGGACGACCTCGTCGAGCAGCACAAGAAACTCCCCCCAGGCTCTGAAGCGCTCCGCCTTACGGCCCTCTGGATCGACCGCCTCACCAAACATGGCCAGCGGACCCCCTTCGACTCAATCAAGCTCCTCGGCCGGCGCGTAGCGAAGCACTTCTGCATCTGCACATCACACTCGGCGGACGAGTACCGTGAAATGGAAACGGCGTGGCTCATGTACAGCGGCATTCCCGCGGCGGACATTGAGGTGTTCTACAAACAGTGCGAACGGATGTTTGGTGACCTGATGAAAGCGGGCCCCATCTCACCCGACATGTTTCGCAATCTGATGGTGCCTGAGGGCGCGTTCGAGTGCATGAAGCACATGTCGCTTGAGGAGGCCAAGATCTTCATGGCGATCGGAGCATACATAACCACGCCCAACGCCAGCGAGTTCATGTCGAGAATTCAGGCTCAAGTCACGAAGATTTTAAATTCGAAGGAGTGATGCTTGGTTAAGTCGATAATTGACCGATTGCCTGCATAATTTTGTCAGAGACTGTGTGTGGCCGTTCAGCAGGATGGATTTGGTTTCTTTGTGAGGCTGATAGCCGGCACGACAATATTGTAGGAGACCGGCCGGGTCGTTTCTTCAAGGGGTTGCGAGATGGCTCCGGATGGCTTCAGGATTTGTGAGATACCCCCTTTACTTCATCCAGGTTTGACAGAATAGCATTTGCACTTTGCTCTGACAATGAGACGATCAAATGCATGCGTATGATTGGCCAATAAGATTGACTGTCGTGCACGGACCATATGAAATTTGTCCCGATTGAAGCTCGGGAAGCTCCATCAACTTTTTCCATCACCAGGCGCATCCCCATCACGCAGCAGGACTCTTGCAGACATCTCTTGCTCACCAGACACGTACGACACCCCAAAATACGTCACTGGCCCTCGAAAACGCTGACAGTGTACCACAGAATGCCACCTCGGTTACCACAACAGGCCGCGCGCGCCCTGCGCAGGTTGGCAACGCCGCCGACTTCCTCCCACCCCATGGCACGATACCTCACCACCTCGACCGCGCGTCTCGCCGCCCCGGCCGCCTCGAGCCACCCGTCCCTCCGTCTCCCCGCCGACTACGTCCCGCCGACGAAGCCCCCATCAGCGCGCCCCCCCGAAACACGCAAGTCTCAGCTCATCCGAACCTACACCTCGCTCCTCCGCACAACGCCCCTGATCCTCTTCTTCCAGCACAGCAACCTCACGGCCGACGAGTGGTCCGCCCTGCGCCGCGAGCTCAACGCCTCCCTTGCCGCCGCCACGCCTGAGGGCTCCGCCGTCGACGGTCGCGACGTCCACCTCCAAGTCCTGCGCACTCGCATGTTCAACGTTGCCCTGAAGCTGGCTGAATTCTACGACCCCGAGGTCGCCAAGGCCAAGCCTGGCGTGCAGACGGGCACCAGGGGCCCTCTCGTGCACGATCTGAGCACAGCGGCGTACGAGGCCATGAAGAACTTTGAGGCCCCTGAGGACTCGGCCTATGCGCAGATCTCGCCGCTGCTGTGCGGCCCGACGGCGGCGCTCGTTTTCCCCGCCGTGTCGCCCGCGCACCTGGCGGCGGCGTTGAAGATCCTCTCGCCTAGCCCGCCCAAGTTCCCCGCGCCGACGCGCAAAAAGAACCCGGGCTACTACGAGCCGCAGTGCCAGAGCGCGCTGCAGAAGCTGCTGCTTGTCGGTGGACGGATCGAGGGCGATGTGTTTGACGTCGAGGGCGTCAAGTGGGTTGGCGGTATCGAGGGCGGCCTCGACGGGCTGCGGGCGCAGCTCGTGTACCTGCTCCAGAGCGCTGGCTTGGGTCTTACTACTGCCCTTGAGGGTGGAAGCAAGAGCCTATGGTTGACATTGGAGGGACGGAGGACGCAGTTAGAGGATGAGGGTAAAGAGGGCGAGAAGAGGACCGAGGAGACTAAGAGCGAGTAGAGCATTGGGAGGAGGTGTATGATAGTGCTGTACAAGTCTGTATTATCACGGGATACGGATCTCTACTATAGAGCTAAACTATTTGTTCATGCAGTGGAGTTGAATGAGCCTTTGCGGTGTTTTTCGTGGTGTCTTGGTAGCCACGGGCTTGACCAGTCTTGGATTGTCGGTCTCTGCAAAAGACTGCCTCATCACCAGTCTGCCACCATCCAGACACGGGATACAAGCCTCACTCGAGAACGGTAGGGGGGATCCGTAATTCTATCTGCAGGGATAAGCCTCATCAACCTGGAGTTGGTAGGTGTGACATGCAGGCGCTCTTACATGGGCTTTTAGCTAAACGTATATTAGTGAAAATAAATGAGTTGTGGTCATCTTGAACTTATAGCCCTCGTTCGATCCAGCCTTGCAGTCCAGCAGTCCCTCAACAATCAAGCCGTTTGAGACGCCAGAGCAGACAATCTCAATCGACCCGAAGTGCCAATTGTCGAGGTGCCCCGATCTGCCCCCGACCGGGCCGGCAAAATGCGGGGCGGGCGACACTAACAGCAACCACTGCATGCGACCTGCATGAACGCGCCGTCGGACCGGGAAAGGACCCCCAGTTAAGCCTGGAGCGCACCAGTCCCCAGCGTGGTGTGCCAGCTCTAGCGGTACCTCCGCGTAGTACCTGACGCCATGGCATTGCGCGTTTCCGAGCTCTCCAATTCCTCCAGCTGACGTACCTCCACATCCCCTCGATTCCCAAAGCAACAACACAACAATAACATCTCCCTCGTGAAGCTCGCAACGCCCCTCCGCAACTCGCGCACCACTCCACCCCGCCACAGTCTCAACGTCCAATTTCCTCCATCGCCTTCGGCCCTCTAGCTTGGCCCCGAAACAGACCAGAACCGCTCAACCACGACGATGGACTTCGCTCCCTACCAATCCTCCCCGCCGGAGCGCGAACGAGCTTTCTCCCCTCCCCTCGCATCGCCGCGCGCCTCGGCCGATTTTCGAAGACCATTCTCGCCATACGGCCAGCCGTCACCGCCGCCGCTGCAGCATCCCCAACCTCAGCGCGGGTGGCAGCCAAACCTACCTGGGTCCTACCCAACGGCGGACGCCCATCGGGAGGGCGTGAGCGAGTTCGACACGAGCTTGGGCATCAGGCTAGATTACGAGGCTGCGCTGGCATACTTGGCTCTTCCGCCGTTAGGAGCGATACTGCTGTTGATTGGGGAGCGGAACAGTGATTATGTGAGGTATGTTGGACACTGTTGCTGAGTGCGCTGGCTGGGACCAGATTTCGCTGCCAAGAGTGACATCTTGCGCAATGCCCTCATCCAGGTATTGAGTAACGAACAGACCGCTGACACATGTCAGGTTTCACGCATGGCAATCCGCACTGCTCTTCACGGCGGTCATGATCTTTCACCTAGTGTTTCTGTCATGGTCCAAGTTTCTAAGCTGGTTCTTCTTTATTGGCGACTTGTTCGCCATGATTTGGTTGGCGTTGAGAGCGTATCAGGACGCGGATACACTCGATAGGTATGTCCATAAAGGTATGTATCCGTTTGCCAGGAGCAAGCACTGACAAATACCAGGTTCGAGGTCCCCATTATCGGCTCGGCAGCTAGTCGTATCCTGGATGACGAATGATTTGACGGCTGGAAGTTCGGGAGGTATGCTGTAAGATGGCGAGGGCATGGCTTAATGACTGTTGTTACGCATATCATATACCCTTTTAATCAGTCAGAGAGAGAGGCATTTCTAGCCGTCCTGGCTCTTGGCTTTCTGTTCTGATAGACATGCCATTTGGCCTTATAAATGAAAGACAAAGAATTATGAATTTCACTTGAATGAGTATCGTACGAAACGCATTCTGAAAAGCTCAGTGAGAATATTCGATGGGTATCCATATCCTCGTGGCACGGTGTGAGGCACTGTTTATTGGATAATTGACACGGCTGCCGGATCCGGTCGGACTTTCCTCCTAGCGCTTTCCGGCAAGAGGTGGCCACCGGACGCACAGGGCAACACCAGGCTGATTACGCGACTGTTGCTTGCCTTGAGGTCCAGCTCGAGCCTCACTGCCCGTACCTCAACGACGCAGCTCCGAAGCTGTCCCTTACTGCTCCATCACCACCCACGACGAAGAAAACGGCACCACACCTGATCCATCACCACACCACCCCACGCGTTGACGACAGAAACGGCGAATTGTATCCTTGACGACCATTTGCCTCTAATACCCTCCAGCTTCACACCCCGCCACCATGTCGACCCTTGAAGAGCTCGACGATCTCGATCGTCACGACAAGAACGACAAGAGAGACGATGGCGAAAAGGACAAGGACAACAAGAAACCCTCCGGTGAAGGTGATGCCGACATGAAGGATGCGGAGGAGGAGGAGGACATCCTCGATGACGAGATTCTGAACCTCAGCACCCAGGACATCCAGACCCGCAAACGGCTGCTCGAGAACGACTCGAGGATCATGCGCAGCGAGCTGCAACGGTTGACGCACGAGAAGGCCACCATGGGAGAGAAAATCAAGGAGAACCTCGACAAGATCGCCAACAACCGGTATGCCCCTCCATTCAACCGACAATGACGAAACGGATAGCTGACTACTCCACCCACAGGCAATTACCTTACTTAGTCGGCAACGTTGTCGAACTCCTCGATCTCGACCCTACTGCCGAGTCATCGGAAGAGGGCGCCAACATCGACCTAGACGCTACCCGTGTGGGCAAGTCCGCAGTCATCAAGACGTCCACGAGACAAACCATCTTCCTTCCGCTGATCGGTCTGGTCGACCCCACAACCCTGAAGCCTGGTGACCTTATTGGTGTCAACAAAGACTCGTACCTCATTCTGGACACGCTCCCGGCCGAGTATGACAGCAGAGTCAAGGCTATGGAGGTCGACGAGAAGCCAACAGAGAAGTACACAGATGTCGGTGGTCTGGACAAGCAAATTGAAGAGCTGGTCGAGGCCATTGTCTGGCCCATGAAGGAAGCTGAACGGTTCAAGAAGATTGGAATCAAGGCGCCAAAGGGTAAGTCTTACTTGTCTTTTATGGGCTGGAATCTCGGGGCAAAGCTGACGATATTTAGGTGCTCTGATGTACGGACCCCCCGGTACCGGAAAGACGCTCCTGGCCCGAGCCTGCGCAGCGCAAACCGACGCCACTTTCCTCAAGCTTGCTGGTCCCCAGCTGGTACAGATGTTCATCGGTGACGGTGCCAAGCTCGTGCGCGACTGCTTCGCTCTCGCCAAGGAGAAGGCGCCCGCCATCATCTTCATCGACGAGTTGGACGCCGTCGGTACGAAGCGTTTCGACAGCGAGAAGAGCGGTGACAGAGAGGTGCAGAGAACTATGCTGGAGCTTCTCAACCAGCTCGACGGTTTCGCATCAGACGACCGCATCAAGGTGCTGGCCGCCACGAACCGTGTTGATGTGTTGGATCCCGCGCTGCTCCGTTCGGGTCGTCTGGACCGCAAGATTGAGTTCCCCTTGCCGAATGAGGAGGCCCGCGCCCAGATCCTCAAGATTCACTCTCGCAAGATGAAGGTCGACCCCGCTGTCAACTGGGGCGAGTTGGCCCGTAGTACGGACGAGTTTGGAGGTGCCATGCTCAAGGCTGTCTGTGTGGAGGCTGGTATGATTGCCTTGCGGATGGGCAAGAACAAGATCAGCCACGAGCACTACGTGGACGCCATTGCCGAAGTGCAGGCCAAGAAGAAGGACGTAAGTTCAGACGGTGTCTCTACCCTGGTCCTACTCGTACTGACCCACTCCAGACTGTCAACTTCTACGCTTAATCCATTCGCATGTCGGGTGATGCCGCTAAGTTTCTGGGGTTATTGCTTCTGGCGGGAATGGGAAGACATAGAGGAGTCGAATGCGATAGACAACAACTTTGTACGATTACCACAGACACTCAAGCGGCCCTATAGGAATGGAAAGCAGTGTTGGCAAGACCGGCAAACGACGTTCATGTGTGATGTTCTCACGGAAATCAATCTAGATGCTTGGGCGCAAGCGAGGCCTCCTGCCAAGTGGCAATACCAGGTGATGGCAAAAAAGAAGGCCCCATTTCACAAACCGTGAAACGGAATAGCATGTTGACAAAAGTTGGAAATTCACGATGATCTGCATCGTGGAGGTGCGCTAAACACTGAGAGCGCGCTTCCCCCTTGATACGAAGACCTGATCGGCAAGTTGCCAGGAAGTCTCACGGGATGTCTGCATCTGAGCTGCCGCGTACGGGAGGCCCTGTCGAGCTGAAAACGATCACGCATGCAAGCCAGGACAATCTTGGTAAGTGGTGGAAGGGGCTGCGTGAATGCATTCCAAGTGGCAGTTGTCGTCGAGCCGTTTACGTTGCGTACTCATCGTCCGTTGATTGTCCCGGGACCACGACTCCCACTTTGGATGAACGACCAATGACAAGAGTCAATGCGTCAAGGCGGTGCGATGGCGGCCGGGGAGGGATTGCTCCTCCATGAGCGTTGTGAGTGTTATGAGCCGTGTCGAGTATATCGTGTGGCGATATGTCCTATATATCCACTAGGAACTAATGTGCCGGCCTGCCGTCTTTGCAATCTTATTGGCGGGACGTAAAATGCAACCTTGGCGACGAAGAACTTTGGAACCGCGGACCTTGATTTTTCTCGATGGGCCGATCTCTGCCTGGTTTGGGGTCGCTTCGAGGTGGTCGAGGCGACAGGGGATCTCAACATGGAAGTCATACCCTAGCGTATCTCTGTGGCTTTCTTTTGTTTGGGTCCAAATGTCGGTTGGCTCTTGGGACTTGATAAAGGAGTGGTCAATTGGTGACGACGAATTGCTGTGAAGAGGGAGATGACGGCAAGGAGAGGGCTGAGGTGACATCGTGGGAGGCGAACCGTTTGTTGTACAATTCCAGTAGGCATTGGGCACGAACAACCTGGGCTGGCCGGCAAGTTTTCTTCTTTCTTTCTTCCTCGGGTACGCATCGCGCAGGCTCAGAGTTCCAGTGCAACAGCTCTCGGGAGTTTTCTGCTTGTCAAGGTCTCATGGTAGTAACACCGGGGGAGACGAAGGGTTACCGAGCGTGCGGACCGTGGCCGGGGGGTCGGCGGATGACGCCACCGCGGCTGATGGCAACGTGAGAAGCTTACTTTTATTGTGCTTCTCCAAGTCCCATCTTTCCAAGTTTGTTTATGGACTGGGAATGTCCAAAGCGAGCCTTATGGGTGAGACAATATCGGCACCCCGATCTTGAGTCCATCCCGCAGCCGGGCCCCATATGCCGTCCTGGCCTGCGTCCGGCTCCATGGCCGGGTAATTTCCCGAAGCGATCGTCATACCATGCATCTTCCCAGCAAAGCTGAGATGCCGTTCATCGCTTCATTCGCAGTCGTCCGGCTCTCGTGTCCGTTCAACGCTTAACGTATTCAAGGCGAGATCACCATGCCAGCTCGTCTATTGTTAGAACGTTGACACGTTTTCCGGCCACGAAAACGGCAAAGATGGGCGCGTCCAGCTGTCCAAGGGATAATGACAGGTATGTAGAAGAAGCACATTGCATCGTTGGGCTCGCCGATCTGTAGCTGGCTAAGCCACTCAGCCACAGCTTTGCCGTTAGACACGAGGAAGTCTGACAGGTCGTCGGCCTTTAAGGATATGTGTTGCAAAGGTCAAAGTGACTACCTGACTAGGTACGCCGAAATGACGCCTCTCCTCCTCCTCTCCTTCTAGAGACTAAATCATGGATAGTGCACCCGGCTCAGGGGTGGCACTTGTGTGTGCTGCCCGGTACTTAAGATGCAGGGGAACGGCACATATAGCCCCCAATCCCCGCTTTCCCATCGCCGCCGTGGCTCTGTTCTCCTCCGTAGGCGCGGACCAACGACGTCTCGCGACGGGGGGTATTTTCCTCCGTCGCTCTGATTGCTTGGCTGTTAGTTAGCCTGTTTGGCTTGTTGGACGTATACCCCGTTCTTGTGTTACGGGGCCAGCATTGACACAGTATTATATCACATTCGAGATCCGGTTCTACGTGCTTTTCATCGTTAGCCATGACGGCACCCGCCCAAGCTACCCTTCCTCTGTTTGTCAACTCTCGCCTTGGCTGTCGGCCGGGTGGGATTTCTCGTACGATCTGTACAGCAATTTATGCGCGGTTTCCACCACGCACATGGACACATGGCAAAATGACCCGGGTATTTCTTGTCACCGCGACGAAAGAAAGGAAGCAAACGCCGTGGTGACGATCGCCCATTGTCGAAATTATGAGGCACGGCAAGGCGAGGCGAGCCCAGCTACTAGTTTAATGTTCATGTATCTACGAACTCGTCCGATCGCCACGACCCTAGCTCGCCATCCCGGTTGAAGTTGACCTCTCCTGCCTTGTCGGTCTAATTTCCTGTTCTGTTAACCTCGATTAATGCAATTCTATAGCTCTTCTGACGGGGATTCGAAATCTTCGACTTGGCCAGATATGGAATGAGCAAGGTAGTACCTGACGTATGCACTCGTCCCCTTTACCGGCAGAGCCCCTCATCAAGGACAGGTAGTCAGGTTCTGGGTCGACCGAGGTGCTCGACCGTTTTCTGCCATGCGGGAGATTGGAGTCATGCATGGCTGTTTCTGGCTGACGTTCTGGAAGGCGGCGCGTGGACTCACTGGCCGACACCCGGGTCATGTCCGACGCCTCGTCTCCGCCATGTCTAGCAACGAGAGGCTGTTGTCATCCTCGGGGCTTCTGCCACTGTCGTCAGTGTAATCTGCTCGCTCTTCATGCGGTCCACGCCGCACAGAGATTCGGTAGCGATATCCTGGGGGCCGTCATACAGCGTTTTGGATCCTAGGCTAGGGATGGACTAGCCGAGCAATCAGGAGGGCTCGCTTCGTGTCGCACAACTGTTCGACTGATGTTGCTGACGATCGGCACATGTCTCCTTCCATGTACTCGAGAGACACGGGGGAAGAGGAGCAGGTGGGTTACTTTTCTTTTGCGGGTCTCGTTGTCATGCGCTGTTCAGGCCGGACAGCCACACGCAATCCAAGCGCTTCCAGACGCGCAAACGACGTCTACACAAACTCGGCCCTGCATCAGACCAGGGATTCGCGCAGTTCCCAGAAACTCTGCTTGTCTACCGATGCAGTGGTCACTGCAGCCTCTCAATAGTCTGATGTGTGCCTGCGTCCAGAACTCCCGAGCTTGCTGGGCCATCATCTCAAGGCTAAAGCTGACGACCATGCCAAATCCTCCTCGTCAGGGGAACCATGCCGGTGTGTCCTGCCTCCCCCGCCCCTGTCCAACAACGGTTCGCGGAGCGGTCTACAAGACGTAGGTACTCTTCATTAGGTCTACGTGTGGCTTGGTCTTGTCCACTTACACACTCTCAATGGGGGCCCCCCATAACAATGTGTGGACGATGTCGACCTATGATGTGAGCAAGATGGGTGTCTGCCCGCCAAGATCCCGGATAAGCGGCCTCAACCGGTTGAGAAGCGTGTGTGTGTGGCGACATAGGGAAGCTCCATTGGAGATTCAGGTACCGATCTCGAGTAGTTTCTTTGGAGTTCATATGCTGGCACGGATGGAGAATGACTTTGGGCTGCAGTCCAGTTCAAGTCGCGCTGACCAGACCGCTACCCCTGAGCTTCATGAGGTATCAGGCTTGACTGACCATGAGATCTACAAGTCCGTCTTCGTCACTCCATAGTTCGAGAGGGGGGCTATATTTGGTCACGTCTAAGACTCCGGGTCTATCACGATGACACCCTATCCAAGAGTTTCCGATGTAGGTGGGCTCAAGGCGGCGCGACAGCGTCCTGTTTGCTGTGTCCAAGCTGAGGGAGCATCGTCATAGAGACGGAGGCCTGTGACGAAGGTCAAGACAACCACCCTTCTTCCTTTGGCGGTCTGCTCAGTCCGGGATCTCTATATAAGAAGCCAACCTCCAACCCATCGACATTATCATTTTCCTTCTCATCACCAGCCCATCACAACCCACCAAGCCTTACCTCCCTCTCCAACTCTCCAACAGTCTCTTAGTACATCCAATCGTTACCAAGCCACCACCAAAAACCAAAAACCTACCGTCAAGATGCAGTTCACCGTCGCCATGGCCGCCCTCTTCGCCAGCGTCGCCCTCGCGGCCCCGGTTGTCGAGGAGCGCCAGGCCGTCTACATCCCCTGCTCCGGTCTCTACGGCACCTCGCAGTGCTGCGCGACCGACGTTCTCGGCATCGCAGACCTCGACTGTGGCAACCCGCCCGAGGCGCCCACCTCTGGTGATGAGTTCAGCTCCATCTGCTCCGCCATTGGCCAGCGTGCCCGCTGCTGCGTCCTGCCTATTGTAAGTTGATCTTAGGAAAGTGAGGCTCGGAGACACTGCTAACATCTTTCGACAGCTGGACCAGGGCATCCTCTGCAACACCCCCACCGGTGTTACGGACTAAGCGCCTTCATGACTAGGTCATGGAGTTGAGATACTTGATTCCGGATTGGTTCTAACGGCAAGATGATCTATGCGGCTGTACGATCTTGAGGGATGCAATTGCACTCTTCCTCTGACTTTTACGAGCAATATTGGGTATACTGGACGAATATGAAGTTGGTACATGGACGGGCAAAGCTTGGAGTCTGAGGACTACAAATGGATTGTATTATGGAATGTACAGAATCAATGCCTAGGGAATGAAAGTCTTTGAAACCAGTCGACATTTGTGCTTCTCGAACTACGACAGTGGCTACAGGAAATCCAGACCGATTGAGTTGAGCTTGAAAGTTCTCGTCACCTTGACTAACCGACGACTGGGCTAATAATGATGCTGTGCTCCAAAGCCTTGGATCATTGGCTTGGAAACGAATGTGGCTGATGTGCCTAACATCTTAAGAACCTGGTGTTTGTGTCGCAGCGCTTACCACCAATTGACTGGAGTTGGCTTCCCGTATGTTTGCCAGTATTGTGGTAGTATTTGGCAGACCTCTTTGAGTAAGTAGGCCTAGAAAACTCAGCAAGCACACAGCATTGCCATTGACAAGGTTGGACTTCAGCACAACGACGCAAAGGGCTCAAGAAAACCACACTGCCACGGGTCGATGCTTCGAAGAATTCATGTTACCGACGCAAAGGCTAAGCGACATCTTACACGAACGATTCCGCATACCGAGGCGCAGGCCCGCTGCGATTCTCCGGGACAATGGCGGCGGCTATTTCCGGCCACGTCCGGGGTTTGGTAAGAGCAGTGATGAACACCCAATGACCAAAACCTCCATTCCCGTACCCTTGGCAGCGGTACCAGCATTGGCAAACGGTGACTGCGAAGAAGACAGCGTGGACTCATAGCTCACTCACAGGAACGGTGATCGGGCGATGACGATACATGGGCCGGTCTAGGCCCCAGGTTGGACTAGGGGAGGTTGGAGGTGAAGCTCTCGGTGAAGGGCCAAACATGTGAGTTTGCTTTCTGCGAGCACAGACCGCCGGCTGGCAGCTTCAAGCCCACCTACCCCACACCCCGGACCCGTCCGTCCCATCCAGGCCGCCAAGGATCGCGATTCACCTCCGTTGTGAGGTGCAACCGGTGGCGGTGCGGAGAGTGGCTGATTTTTTTCTCCCCCTTCGTCTGTGGGGTTCGCTCAGAATGACATCACCGGAGCAATTGGTCCTGGCGCGCCACCGCTGGTTGCTGGGTTGGTTGGTGAGCTCAGTGAGACAGACAGCAGGAAGACAGCAGCAAGAGCTTGCAGCTTCCCGCTGGAGCTAAGAGCTAAGGATGACGCACGCACCAGGAAAGAGCATCTCTGGAAGTGTTGAGGCAGGAGAGACAAGAAACCAGCGATGGCTTTTTCTCTGTGGATTATGGAGCGATTTCGTCTCCCTTTTGTCTAACGGAAACATGCGATCCCGAATGTTATTAGTAGTATCCCGGTATTCCCAATAGCATAGAACGGCATGCCGTCTCCCCCATTTTCCCCATCGACAAAATGGTTTCACCGCCTGGGCTCAAAACTGACCTGCAACCTTAATGTTCAGCGCTATGCACGTTGCCGGCGGGGCTACGTACCTCCCTCAACCGCGTCGCTAAGCTGTAAGGAAAACCCACTAGCCAAGGGGGGTAGCTACGTCATGCCTGGAAGATGAGCTTCACGGAGCTCTCTGAATGGCTGCGCGGAGAGCTCCTGCTGCGATTTTGATGCTTTCCCGCATCGCTTTTCAAGCAGATCATTGTGGCATGTGGCCCGTTCCAGCCGCCATTATTGCATAGAATTGACGTGACACTTCAAAGATTGAACCCAGCGGCGGATGCCTGTCCCCGGTTGCCCGCCCGCCTGCCTGGCCTGTCTTGATGCAAATCGTCTGTCTATCCGAGGTTTTTGTGTTTTTTATGTACGAATGTCTTTGCTAGCGCCACCGAGCGGAAAGAGGACAGAGATGTCGAAGCTCACCAAGCGGATGCAAATGCATTGTGATCGGAAGAAGGAGCACCTCGTCACACAGAGAGGGAGGCGCCTTCCATCCCTTCTCCCCCGCGACGAGTGTGCACAACCCCCATGGCAAGCACGACTTCTATGGACGTACGTAGGCCGATAGGCCACACCAGACAGGAGGAGCAAGAGGCAGGAGCAAAGAGGCAAAGTACGTATGTATGTACATGCGTACAATCCGAACCATTGGACCAAGGCCACCGCGGCGACCAGATGCACCCAAATGCAGCCACAATTTCCCACAAACACACTGCAGTGACGTGATGGATTCCTGACGTGAATTGGATCATCCGTGGACCTTTTCTGTTCGCCGCTTGACGCTTGACGCTTGACCCTCCCTGTCGTCAACCTACGCAGACTCTTGCCTGCAGTCCCTCCATCCCCTGCAACCAGCTTGCCGTCCCCTACGTGTTCCGCCTCCCGGGTCGACACAACAAAAACCACCTACACCCTTGGCAACCTCTTTCCAAAACTTTTGAACTCCTGCTTCTTCCTCCTTCACTACAACCTGGTGATTTTCTACTCAGTTCTTCTCAGTCCTTTTTTTTCGTGATACCCCCCAAACACCTGGATCTTCATTGGAAGACTGATACGCAAAAACCACCAGAATGCGTTTCCTCCCCACCGTCCTGACGGCCCTGGCCGCCCAGGGCGCCATTGCGAGCACTTGGTTCTCCAAGGCCGGTACGTTATATCTGCACTGCATTTGCATGTTTGCTGTGGACTGACAGCTATAATTTCGTAGCCTACAACAAATGGCACGAGACTGAGCTCGAACGCTGGCTCTCCGACCATGACGTCCCCTACCCCACCCCCGCCGACCGCAAGGACCTCGAGAAGCTCATTGAGAGCAACTGGAACAACTACGCTGTCGCCCCCTACAACTCGTGGGACACCGACCGCCTTCAGAAGTACCTGAAGGCAAAGGGTCTTCAGACTGAGGGCGCCGCCAAGGCCAACAAGGAGTCCCTCGTTTCCCAGGTCCAGAACGCCTGGTATGAGACTGGCGACCAGGCTCAGAACGCCTACCTCAACGTCAAGGACTGGATTCTGGACGGTTGGACCGACAGCCAACTCAAGGCCTTTGCTGACAAGCATGGCATTCCTGGTATGTCTACACGCCGAAAACAGGATGAAATGTGGCACAAGACGTATTATTGACATCATTATAGTTCCCCAGCCCCGCAACCGTGACAGCCTCCTCCAGAAGGCTCGCGCCAACTACGAGACCATTGCCCAGAAGGCTGGCGAGACTGCCTCCTACCCTGGCAACTGGCTGTACGAGACCTGGTCTGGTATGTCTGTAATGGATCCCTTGCCTTGGGTCACCAAATAACAATTTGCAGAGTCTGATCTCAAGGAGTGGCTCGACACTCACGGTTTCCCTGTTCCCCAGGTCACCAGCGTAAGAATCTTCGCGCTCTTCATCAATACATGAGCTAACAACTCGACAGCGTGACAAGCTGATTGCCTCTGTTCGCCGCAACTCCCGTCTTGCTTCACTCAAGGCTCAGGAGCAGGCTGCCAGCGCTTCTGAAAGCGCCCAGCAGGCATACGCTACCCTGACTGACATGGTTATTGACGCATGGAGCGACTCTCAACTCAAGGAGTTTGCTGACAAGAACGGCATTCCTGGTAAGAACCCTTGTTACGCGACAAAAGGCCACTGCTAACACCAAATAAGTCCCTCAGGGTACCAAGTCCAACGAGCTTAAGGCTCTGATCCGCAAGCACCGCGCTGACTTCCTTCAAAACAACGTTTCTGGCGCGGCTGCCAGCGCTTTCGGTGCTGCCACCTCCAACGTCGGCTCTGCTGCTTCCAAGGCCACTGACACTGCCTCTAACGCTGTTTCTGACGCTTTCAACGCTGCCATCAACACCTGGTCCGAGACCCGTCTTAAGGGCTACCTTGATGCCCGTGGTGTTCCCGTTCCCCAGGGATCCAAGACTGATGAGCTCCGTGCCCTCGTTCGCAAGAACCAGCATAAGGCTGCCTCCGGCTGGAGCGCTTGGACTTATGATGACTTCTCTACCGAGAACCTGAGGAAGTACCTTGCTTCCAGCAGCGATGCTACTGTTAAGAAGGTTGCCGAGAAGAAGGACGCTTCCCGCGATGAGCTCGTCAGCGCTGCTCAGTCTGCCTACAGCTCTGCATCGTCTGCTGGCGGTTCTTCGTACGCATCTGTGACCAGCTACCTATCTTCGGCTACCGACTCTGTTAAGTCCAACGTTTTCGACACCTGGAGCGAGAGTGAGCTCAAGTCGTACCTGGAGAGCTATGGCGTCAAAGTTCCTCAAGGCTCCACCCTCGATGAACTCCGTGCCTACGCCCGCAAGCAGTACACGTACTTCAAGTACGGCACCTCGTCGCCTTCCGAGACTCTCTACGCTAAGATCGCAGAGAATGCTAAGAGCACTTGGAACTGGGTTGCCAACCAGGTTGGCCTTGGTGCTGATGTCGCTCAGAAGAAGGCCGCCGATACCAAGAAGGCCGCCGAGAACGCCAAGAAGCAGGAGTTGTAAAATGCTCACGCTTTGCACTTATTGATACCTATCTCTCACGACGGGGGATGATGGCGATTCCTAGGAGTCGCGGAATTATGACGGATGACAAAATTTGGGTTTTCCGGCTTGCTTTATCGACACTTTGCGCTTGGAATTGGCATGGTCTGGAGGTGGGTTTACCTTCAGGCTTCATGGGTAGTATTGGCATCGGTTTTCGTTTGCCCCTCCTGCTAGTATGGGGCCAGGACTGTACACTATTCGATTAGGGATGAGCCATGAGATTAATCATCGTAAATGACTGTACTTGCCGAGTGTGCTGTGATCACGTCGCTGTGAAGCTGATCGTGATACATTCTCCACATCACACCACCAAGACTGTGTGCGTGTATGATTGAAATGTACATCTCCAACACCGAGTCGGGTATGTTAGGCACAAGATGTAGAGAAGGAATTCCATGTCATGCATTCCGCGCTTAGAATACGGACAAGAATTTTAATGGAGATTGGTCCTAATAATGGCTGTCAAGTAGAGAGTCCCTAGCTAATGCTCAAAAATCACAACTTTTTCGTCTGGGCAATACCACGTGCCAGACCTCTGATGATGCTACCTCCTCTACCAAGGCAAAGCAAGAACTGGTCCCATCCATGCCATGCACGTTCGTCTCATCCCGTCATGGGTCCCTCAACTGGCGGCCTCTGCCGCCTTGTCTCTGCACGCTCGCGCCCCCTTGTTCTCTTACCGCGAGAGGACACCCCGGACAGTGCCCTGCAAGACAGGCTTGGTGTCGAAGACGACCTCGTCGATGCCCGTGTCGGCGCCGGTGCCCTTAGCGAGCCAGCGGGCCAGGAGGTCGTTGCTCTCCCTGGGCTTGATCGAGTCGTCGCGGGTACCGACGGTGATGTGCGCGACGTTGTTGGTGCACTTCCACTGCTCCGAGGGATCGACGAGGCGCACGACAATGGCCATGACGCGGTCGTCGAAGACCACCTGCGGGGGTTCAGGTTAGTTCGTGTACCTCTAGTGTTTACAGAGACGGGGTACTCACTCTCTCCAGCTCGACGGCGCACTCGCCCAGGGGCCGGGCGCTGGCTGCCTCCTGATTGCCGCCGGCTTCCTTCTCGGCCTCGGCGTGGATGGCCACATACTTGGACCACAGCTCTGAGTTGTCCTTGGAGCTGGCGCGGTGCATCAGGGTCACGTGGAACTTTGGCTGGACGCGGCGGGTCTGGGAGAGCTGCTTGTAGAAGCGCGCGGTGGGCATGCCGGCCTTGTTGAAGGCGCCATCGAGCACACCGCGGATCTCGTTGGCGGGGACATCGACCGACATGTACTCGAGGGGCTTCTTTTTCTTCTGCTTGCCGCCCTGCTGGGACCCCTGGTTGTGGGCCGGCTTGTCCTTGCGCGGGCCGCGGTCGGGGATGTTGTGCTTGAACTCGGGCTTGTACTCGATAAAGGCCGACTGGACGGCCTCGTCGAGGCGCTCGGCGGGCGGCACCTCGGGAACGAGGCTAGGGTACATCTTGTGCAGATCCGTGATGACCTTTTCGAGGTTCTCACGGCTGCCGGCGGTGGGGTCGAGGTGGATAATGTTATCGAAGCCATCGTCAGGCGGGGAGAAGGCAGCGAGTGGCTCGAAGCGGCTGATGAAGCCTTCCATGACGCCGAGGAACTTTTCCGCGTCCGTGGCGGCGTGGATCGTCTGGTGGTTGTCACCACGAGCGATGACGCGCTCCTGGGTGATGCGGCGGACCTCCTCGACGTTGTTGTCGTCGTGGGCGAAGTAGAGCGCGACGAGGCGGGCTGTCTGGTGCTGCACTTTGACGTCGGTGAGAATCTGCTTGCGCTCGTGCTTCTGGGCGTTGTTGCGGTCGGCGATGACGACGGGGTGGTCCTTGAGCTGGTCGAGGACGGCCTTTGTGAAGCGCGGCGGCCGGCCCTTGCCCGAGATGTTATCGTTTTGGACATGGCCCCAGTTGAACAGGTGCTGCAGGGCGACGGCGATGGTGGTCTTGCCGCAGCCGATGGTGGCGATGGGCACCAGGATAACGTCCCGGGAGACGTCGTTGTTGATGTTGGCCGGCTCCGAGAGCTCGAGGTTGGCGGCGTCGGAGCCCTTTATGTTCTTGAAGGCGAGGAAGTCGTTGCGCAGCGCGATGATGCCGTGGTTGTGCTGGTAGAGCTGGGCAAGGTTCTTGTCGGCCTGGAGGCGTCGGCGGGCGTACAAAAGGTACTCCTCGGTGATTTTGACGTGCTTCTTGTAGCGGGGCGGCTTCCCCGTGATCATGGCCTTTGTGCACTCTCTCCACTGGCGGTACATGAGATAGGGCTCCTCGAACTTGTACTTGAAGAACCAGTCACGGTAGGGCACCGAGTCGGGGCTGTGGCTCTCCTTGCAGCGAATGACGAAGCCCTCGACGTCGCGGTCGCCGTAGGCGCCCGTCTCGGCCACCCCCTCAAGGAAGGACTTGACCTCGTTGACGTCCTCCATGACGATCAGGCCCACTTGCTTGAAGCCCCAGGCTTCGCCGAAGCTCTGGACCAGGGCGCTGGGGTAGGTGACGAACTCGGGAAGGTTGAGGTTGATACCGTGGATGTACAGACCGGCCTTGTCCGGGCCGTACTCGAGGATATGCTCCTCAAAGGAGTCGTCGCAGAGTTCAGCCACCGCGGTGGCATTGCGATCACGCAGCTCCCTCGCCAAGTCCTCCTTTGTCTTTCCCAGCGCAGCCAGCTGCTTCTCAATCATGCGCTCTCCCGCCATGGCGTGGCTGATGTCTGCGTCGCTCCTCTCTCCCGTCGAGTGCTTGCTGCAAACCAGCAGGGTCCCGTCCTCGAGACCAGAAACGAAGATGATGCAGCCGTTCTCCTTGAGGGTGAGCTCGTAGGGCCCCTTTGTCCGGGTAAGGATGTTCTCCCACTTTGTCTCGGGGACCTCGCCGACGTTGAAGAACTTGTCGTAGCCGCGCACCACGATCTCGGGCTCGTTGCTGCGGTTCTTTGTTGTGAAGAGGCCTCGGGCGTACGTGGGCAGGTCCCTCTTCTTGTAATCCCACTCCTGCATCTTCCAGGAGTCGACGACGACGCCGTCCTGGGAGCTCTTTACGTCGAACGAGGTCTTCTTGCACGAGAAGCCGCCGCTCTTGGACTTGCTGGATTTCTTTGCGCCGTCCAGCGCGCGCACCATGTTGGCGACCTTCTCAGCGTCCTGGGGGACGTAGGGGACCGCGGGCATGGCCGCCCCTGCTGTTGTTGCTGTAGCCATAGCTCTGGAGAAAATGTGAGCTTTTGTGGCTGAAAAAGTGAGGGGAGATGGTCTAGAAGTGAAGCAGAGGGCCCGGCGGGCAAGGAACATGAAGAGAAACAGGCGCGGCTAGCGTCTGCCTGCGGTCCGTCTCCTGAATATGAAGAGAGAACGAATTGTGTGCGGTGATGGTCTCACTTGAATGTCGTCCTTGGAGGGTGAGACGATGTTTTTTGTAGAAAAGGATTGCAGCCCAATCCGAGATATCCAACTACAGCGGGCAACAGACAGGACGTGAGTCACTTTACTGGCTCCTGTCGGATCCGTCTCAAGCGGCCTCAACCAAGATAACCAAGTGTGGCTTTAGCTTGGGAACCAAAGAAAGAGTCCTTAGTGAGAGGGAACGAAGCAGTCAGATACACCGGCGACCATACACGGGGGTGGGCAACAGCGTGGTGGTTTGTGCTGTGCGTCTGCCTGCTGCTGGCTTTGGGGGTGTGAGATCAGATACCGGAACTTGCAGGGACGCTTTGCAGATCTGGGAGGCTACGAAAATAAGCCTCAGGGAAGTGGCGTCGCTGGGATTGCAGGGCTGACTACGGATAGGGACATTTGGGCGCTGGAGTGGGTGGCTAAGAGGGGCACAGTCGAGCTGGTCCAGGGCCTCCAACCCCGGGAGGTAAGAGCATTTGTCCTGTCCCAGAAGGCGGTGGGCTGATTTTGGAGGGGTTGTGCGTCACGCCGGAAGCTCCCCCGCATGGCAGAAAATTTCCCACGGACACCATCGAGCAATTTTCAGGAACAGACAGCATCAAACTGCGCCCCCGTCGAATTTGGCCTCAATTCTCATTCCGTCCCGGACTACGAACCCATCCCTGACTCCCCCAAGCATCAAACGCCAAACAGCTAGCTGCCGAACTAACAATGGGCCCTAACCCGTACCTCCTCGCCGCCGACAACCCTGCGGCCCTGCTCACCCTGCTCCGTGAGAACCCCGCCATCGCCTCGGGCCAGGATGAGCACGGCTACTCGCTCGTCCACGCCGCCGCAAGCTACAACCACCTCGAACTGCTGCGCGCCTTGGTCCAGGAATTCGGCGTCAATGTTGACCTGAAGGACGAGGACGAGGAGACGGCCCTGTTCGTCGTCGAGACGGTCGATGCGGCAAAGTGCCTTGTTGAGGAGCTCGGCGCCGACATCAACGCCAAGGGCGCCGACGGCATCACCGCCAGCCAGAAGATCGAGGGCGAGGCCGACTACCCCGAAGTTGCAGAGTACCTCAAGGGCGTCGAGTCCCAACGAACCGCCGCCACCACCGAGGGCACCAGCCAATCCACCGCGACCGCCGACACCGCCGCGCCGCCTGTCGAGATGCCGCCCGTCCCCGAGGGTCTCGCCGTGACGCTCGGCACCATGGATCAGGCCGAGGAGGTTCCCGCAGAGGTCGATCCCGAGTTCAAGCGCCGGATAGAGCAGCTGGCCGAGAGAGAGGACTTCCACACCACCGAGGGCCAGGCCGAGCTGCGCCGCCTCATCGAGGACGCCATCCTCGACCAGGGCTTGGGCGACGAGCGCAGCGTGCGCCAGAAGCAGGCGTAAAAGCAAAGAAAAGGAAAAAAAAAAAAGCTGCTTAATCATCACCCTTGATTTCCCAAAACAGGTAGTGGCCGGGCGACGAGGGCGGGCGGAGGAACGCGACCTCGGAGCTGTCGCCTGTCATCCCCTTGGAGAAGGAGGTGGCACTGAGGGAGACCCAGGTCCGCGACGGCAGGGCGGTGAGGGCGTGGATGAGGACGCTGCGCACCCAGTCCGAGGTGAAGAAGCCCTGCCATGCAATCTTGCAGACTTTCGCGTGCGACGGAGCGTCGGCGTCGGTGTCGCCGGGGACTCGGTAGCGCGAGAGGTACGGGTCGATGCTGTCTCCGGCCTCGACGCGGGGGCTCCGTAGACGGATCAGGGACAGCCACTCGTACGTCTCCGTGGCAAAGTCCTCGAGGCCGGGTCTGTCGCCGTTCTGGATGACCTCGCTGGGAATTGCCAGCGGTGCCGCTTGGACGTGCATGTCGGACACGAGGGCGGGCTCGCAGGTGTATCTAGTTGGGAAGTGCTGGTCCAGGGGGTCCGGCGAGGGGGCTGGGCGATGTCAGAATAGTCACCGGTAGAATAGCGCGCACGCGGGGGTAGTAACGTACCAGTAGTCGCCGCGTTGCAGAACAGCCACGTCACGGGCGTGTTGAGGACGTTTTTGCACGCGTAAGCGAGCCTGTCGAAGCCCTTTTTGCCGTGAAGCATTGACGGGTCTCGCAGTTGGTAGCTTACAACTGAGGGGGGTTAGCCTCGTGATAGTGTTGAGACGAAATGTTTACTCACCCCATCTCGGCTTCAGGCCTCGCTTTCCCTTGACTCCGTGAGGCTTTCCCACCAGGCCGGCGCGCTCGTACGTCTCTTTGTCGAGGTACATTGTGAGCAGGCCCTCGCGGAGGGAGTAGACGTTTTCGACGGTCGTCCTGCCCTCGGAGAGCATGAGCACGTTGCCTAGACAAATTTAGTCACTGTTTCTCGCTACACACAGTGCCCAACTGACCTCGCTTGATGTACTCGGTAAAGAAGGCCCCGTCCAGCACCTGGCCGAGAGTCATGATGACGCGGTGGAACGTCGGCGCCGCAAGTTCCTTGACCAGCTTCTGGTGGACGACCTCATAGCACTCCTGAGGCAGGATGAGCTCGACCTGCAGAAGTCAGTCAGATGTTCTCAGTGCAACTCGTGCAGTATAAAAACGCACCTTGTGGTTGAATCCCTGGCCCAGGATGGGCGCCCATGGCTTGCCTTTGGTGGGCAGCTGTTTGGGCTCAACGTGAGCCATGGTGCCGTACGTGACGAAGCATTTCGGCGCCTGGTAGACGCTGGGCGTCGGGAGCGACAGCATGTCGTTTCGGTATTATTCGCCTTGTCTCGAATTCTTGCTGTCTCGCTGATTGGGGAGGGTCATCAAGCCTAGTCCTCGTCAACACGGATGAGAGAGCTCGACATCGCAAAATCGAGAAATGCATCTGGATCCTTTAGTCGCACGCCCGGCGTTGGTAAATAGATCAGCGTCTCCACTTCACCAGCGCAGCCCGGCCCTGCGCCGCCTGCTGCAGCAGCAGGTTTACTCCCCGGCGTGTGCCCATACGGGCGCCTCTGCACTGAGAAAATGCCGTTCTGGCAGCGCCTAAACCCACACAAACCCGTCGAGTCAGCGGGAGTCCAAGACGAACCAAGAAGTCGGATTTTACCAATACCATCACCAATTTCGGGATACCGAAGCTCTACAATATTCTGATTTGACACTGCCTCGTTGATCTGTGAGTACGTCTCAAATACCATGTATCCCGTGTAATGACCGCGGCTAACACGTCGAAGAGTCCAAGAGACGGCGCAAACGAGGGGCACATTTTCACCCCGCGCTCCGGCCCAGCATTTTTCTCGGCTGCCCCTCCTCACTCGAGACTTGTGTTACACGACCCGGCGCATCGCGACCAGGACAGCCGCGGCGCCGAATCCACGATGGAGTACCTCGTCCGCTTCTCCCAGGCCCACGAGTCTTTCAGGCTCCCGGAGCTGCAGGCCCTGGCCGACCTGGAGGAGATCGACATGAAGGTTGTCGAGTACAGTCCTGATGTGAGTTTTCTCAGTGACGTTTTAGCGACCTTGTGAGAGTCTGAAGTGAGCTTGAATATCGTTCAATACTTCTACGTTAAATACCTCGAATCAGTCCTTTCAGGAATTGTCCCTTACTTAATCAAACTCACCATCTGTCTTTTCATATACTTATTAGTTAAAGTATTACTCTGTAACTAGCACTGCACTCATTCTCATCCCGTCTCATGACTCCCCAACCTATCAACCCCTTTTCTCATCCCCCTTTTTTCTCATCCTCACTCCTCTCAAGAATAACCCACGAACCCAAACCCGGCTAACAGAACCACAGTCCCCCTTCTGCATAATCACACTCCCCTCTCCCTCCCTCGCCCCCCGCCTCATCGCGCGCTCCCTCCTAACCCAATCGATCCACCTCCTCCTCGCCTCGGCGCCCTCCCACGACGCGCTCCACGAAACCATCAAGTCGGCCCTCGCCGCCCCCACGCCCACCTCCTTCGACTGGTCCTCCGTCTCGGCCGCCTCCTTCAAGTTCTCCCTCGACACCTACCAGACCTCCCGCCCGCACGCCGACTTCGTCGCCCTCATCAACTCGTTCCGCTACCTTCCCCTCCGCGGCCCCATCAACCTCAAGACCCCGGACCTCGAGCTCACAATCTTCGAGGACTGGGACCTTCACGGCGCCGAACCCAAGCGCGTCCACCTGGGCCGCCACCTCGCCTCCGGCGCCCGCCACCTCTCCCTCACCTACGACCTCAAGAAGCGCGGCTACATCAGCACGACGTCCATGGACTCGGAGCTCGCCCTCGTCACCGCCAACCTCGCCCACGCCGCGCCCGGCCGCCTCTTCTACGACCCCTTTGTCGGCACGGGCTCCTTCCCCATCGCCTGCGCCCACTTTGGCGCCCTGGGCTTCGGCAGCGACATTGACGGCCGCAGCATCCGCGGCGCCGGCGGCGACCGCAGCGTCCGCGGCAACTTTGCCCAGTACGGCCTGCTCGACCGCGTCGGCGAGTTCTGGACCGCCGACCTCACAAACTCCCCCGTCCGGAGGTCCCGGTGGCTCGACGGCATCGTGTGCGACCCGCCCTACGGCGTCAGGGAGGGGTTGAGGGTGCTGGGGTGCCGGGACCCGGACAAGACGCCGTGGGTCGTCGAGGCCGGGAAGCAGCGGTACAAGTGAGTCGACGCACCCCGCTAAACCCCCCCTTCCGTATCTCTCAATCTACGAATCCAAGCATGCTGACGAGCACCAGATCGGGCGACTTCATCGCCCCCAAGAAGCCGTACAGCTTTCTCGCCATGCTCGACGACATCCTCCAGTTCGCCGCCGACACCCTCGTCGACGGCGGCCGCCTCTCCTTCTGGATGCCCACGGCCAACGACGAGGACCAGGAGATCCCCACGCCGCAGCACCCCCGCCTCGACATCGTCGTCACGTGCGTGCAACCGTTCAACAAATGTGAGTTTTCTTGTTGCAGACTGCCTATACCCTACCGCTAAACCCGGCTGCCGCCGTTCCCCCCAACGTGCTTCGTCTGGACCCCCTTCATGCTGACCTGCTTCTCTCTCTCTCTCCCTCCAGGGTCTCGGAGACTCATCACGTACCGGCGCATCCCCGACAGCCAGGTCGACCCGGAAAGGCTGGCCGCCTACAAGCGCACATTCGTCGCGGGAACAACAGCAGATGAGCTGAACCCCTTCCGAAAAGGCTACTTCACCAAATTCGAAAAAGAAGAAGCCTAGTAATAGAAGAAGAACCAAAAAAGCCATGTACAGCAAAAAGAAGTTTACCCCGTTGTTTGATGATGCCTTGCCCGTGCCTAACAAGAAATACTGTAAATGTAGCTGAGTGTGTGTCTCTCTCTCTCCGTACGTAGGTTTCGTGATCCTTCTTGTCGTCGCCGGGCCTTGAATTATCCCTACTCATACCCAAGGCGTACCCAAGGCATCGTCGTTTGATATCATTTGCAAAAAAAAAGAAAATAAAAAGCCGCATGCGTCCAAGCAGATGTACTCCCGCGCGCCGCGTAATGTCTGCTGTCACGCTCGGTGCCTCTGACACCCCGCTGAGCCCCTTTCCCCTAATTCTTCCCAAGCCGGTGTGGCCTCGGGGCCTCATCTGAATTCCATGGCACCAAAGCAACCCCTATCCTCCACGTGCTTGAGCTCAAGCTGTTGAAACCTAGCGGGGATTGTTAGCGAACAAAAAGCAAGCAAAAAAAAGACAAATGTCTCGGGGTATCGTCGGCACAAACTTTTCGCTCTTGGAGTGGAAGTAGATTCCACTCACTTCGCCCTTGACCTGGTTGAAGCAGATGTAGTAGAAACCCTCGAAACTCGCGCCGGAAATGGTGCGCACACGGTGATCGGGGACGAGGAAATGTTCCTTCCACCGCATGAAGATGTTTTCGCGCTGCGCGACGTCACGGATCACGACCGGGCCCTTGCGCGCTTGCTTTTGGAACGGGCGGAAGGCGTTGAACTTGGCCCAGTGGTTTAGGTCGATCTTGTCGGTGGCGCCCCAGGTCTCGTGGTTTGTGATGAAGCTGTATTTGGTGCCAATGATCTCGCCCTCAAAGTACGTCGTCAATGTGGGGTGGTCTTCGGTGAGGCCTGCACGCACACACACACAGAGTTTAGCAAACGGTTACACGACGGGCGGGGAAGCTAGCCGTCCGCACCTTGGATTCGCAGGTATCCGCACAGGAAGGATTCCCTGAGATCGACGTGCTTGATTTCGACCTGCACGTCATACACTTGTCGCTCGGATTGTTGCGTTCCGTGGAATTTGCTTCCAGGTCGCAAAAAGGAGGATGCTGTTGATGGAATGATCTGTTGATGCGTCAGTCGCCGGTGAGGTACACGTTCACCGTTGGATACATACCCGCATGTTGGAAAAGTCCGAACCCATGGATGGCGCCATGAGCTCCTCTTCCCACACGTCATCGACGTCGAACTCCATGCCCTTGCCGTCGTCGTGCACCGATGTTGGCGAAAGCCTAGGGTCGTGCCGCCTAGCGCCATCTTGCCGAGATGCCCTCAGCCTTTCACCAGCCGAGTGTCCCTCTTCGTCGGACTCTGCATGCTTGAACGAATCCATATCGGCCGCCGGCGAAGAGTGGGCGGTGTCGCCCGACTGCGGCCTCGGCGACATCGTGGTGGATCGGGAGGAGGAGACGGCGGACGTGGGCTCGTCGTCGATGATGACCTCTGTGCTCATGCCCTCGGCTTGCGACATTGGGGCGCTGACGGGGGCGGGCGATGCGTCCTCGTCCATGCGATCGTCGTGATGGGCGTCCATCTCGGCAGGGCCTTGGTTTGCATCGGTCGGTGGGCGCCAGCTGCGTTGCGGGGTTCTTGAGTTGCTGTCTTCAGGACATGTCGAGAAACTGTGGGATCGAGGTGAATGGGGGTCGGGAGGAGGATTGGATGAAGGCGTCGGCATGCTGGGCAGGAGGAGGATCGAGGTCGTGTGTCGTGAGGTGCGGCGGTGGAGATATCGATGTCGGGCGATGGGGTTCGGTCGCGTCGACGGGGAACGGCTGCGGCTTTACCGCCAGCAGGGGGGGAGAGGGCTCCGCAATGATGACAGCAGGGGGTGGCAAGAGGATCTTTGGGGTCAAGCAGGCAAGAGAGTATAGTATCGATCGGTGTCTGAATATGCAGTGACGGGCGATGTCGGGGTTCGTTGGTGGACTCGTTCGTGTGCGATCGTGGGCTCGAGACACAAGACTCGGTCGAGGGGATGCGAGGAGAGGTGATTCAGACCAGTTGGAGCAACGGGTGACCCAAAGGACCAAGTAGTATAGGCAGAACAGAACCACAGGCCTGGCAAGCGGTCGGTAGCGGTCGGGGGCTCGAGAAGGGTATTGGTCGGGACAATACCACCCCAGAAATCCGCAGGAGACTGGAGTCGCGGGGACCACAGCGGGTGGTAAGGAGGGAGGTTTGTGGACGGCAGGCAGTTGTTGGTTGCTGGTACCGGCACGAGTCAAAAGTGTGAAGCTCGTCGCAGAAGAGGAAGCTTTCTAGGGTTGAGGGAATATCGAATGCAGGACGAGAGCAACAACTGGTGGATGACTGATGTGACAGAAGCGAAGTCGGGCGAGGCAGACTGGATGTGCGGGAAATGGAAGGGTTGCCTGCAGCAGCAGTTAACGGCCGCGATTGGAATGGCAGCGGTAGAAGCAACGATGGCGATGCGGAGAGGGCAACCAAGGAACGGAAAATGGGACGGGGGGTGAAGATTGGCGTTGGGAACGGGGGAAGGGAGACAGATGCACCCAGACAAGAGGACTGACTACCTACAGAGTAAGGTACGTGGAGACGGACGGGAACGCAGAGGACTGGAGGTACCTACCTAGTGTTCGGGATGTAGGAGATGTACGTACACTACATACACAGGTACGGTACACTTCCTCGTCAGAAGCGTGGGACGGGGGTGCAATAGGAATGAGAGAAACGGGGGTGACCGGGAAGGTTTGGGACGAGAGACGACGAGGAGGGATGGGATGGGACGGGATGGACCTGTATTGCGTTGATTGGGTTCGGCTTCACAAGCATGGCTGATGGGGAGGGCTTGCTTTCTGTGCGTCTTCGCCTGATGCTCTGCTGGACGTAGACTTGTATGAGACGGAGCGAGGCGAATATGTTTGAATACTACCTGTTCATGTTGAAGCGGCGGGAATCCAATAGTATAACGTCCAGCAGTACCGTTTGGAAAGGATGCAGATATGAGTAAGTGTACTTGGTACCTAGACGCAGAAATTGGAAGTGAGTAGGTACAGACTTGGGGGGGTGAGAGTGAAAAAATGCGGAGGAGGGTAAGGTCATGGCAGGTGTGCAGTCAATGCATTGCAGCCGATGACGCCTGCGTCCCCGCCTTCTGCTCGCAATCTGAAGACCACCACCACCACCACCACCACCACCACCACCAGCTACCATTAGGCTCTCTCTTTCTCTCTCTCAAAGAGTGAAGAAGGGGAAGGGGGGGAAGGGGAAAAAAAAAAAGTCAAGCCAACAGAGGCCCGTGGGACGTGGAGACACGCATCGTTTACCGCTAACCACGTTGGAAGGGTCCCCCCAGCATGTGCCATTTCTGCGCTGTCAAGCCTCGCCCGTCGCACTGCGTCTTCCCTCCTTTTTCCTTTTTTCTTTTTCTCCGTCTTCTTATTTTGCTTTCTCTCTCTCTCCCTCTCTCTCGCATTTTTTTCTCTGGCGTCACTCTCCCCCCGTCAAGCCCCGTCCGTCACTCAGGCTAATCCCGACCGCTGTCGCTTCTGGCGTCTTGACCCTGCCACGCGGTGACAGGATGGCTGCGCTAACTCGGGCCAACTCGTCTAGCACGCCTAGCACACCCAGCTGCCAGCATTTTGCCTTTTTGTCGCACCGCCTAGCGGCTTGGAGGAACACGCTGCTGGGCCGCAAGCGTCGCAAGGACACTGCAACACATCACGCATTGGTAGGGCCAACGGCATGTCAACTGGTACACGGTGCTCAACTGGCAGCGAGCTGGTAGGTGACCGACGCCTCTTTTTTTTTTTTCCTTCCTTTTTTTTTCGTCTTCTTCCTCTTCGATTAGTCCCCTGCCGCGCTTTGCGTCTGATTCGCTAGCCCTGCCAACTCACTTGGCACGCACTTCACCACTGACACTCTTGTCTCTGGCCCATGTCTTGCTGTCTTTCTGTCTGTCACCGGCTCCCACTCGCTGCTGCGCCTGAGCCTGCGCCTGCACCTCACACCACACCTCGCTGAGACGAAACCGCGTCTCTGTCGCTTCGCTGTCCGCATGCGCTGAGATGCATCTTGTGCGCTGCTGCTGCTCTCTCTCCCGTCCTGCAACAACAGTGCAGTTTTCTAAGGGGTCAGGGGCCTCTCTTCATCGGGCTTGCGGACTCTTCTCAGCGCCCGTTTTCCCCTCTCCTTCCCCAACCCTCGCGGCGGGACGGGGGCTTCGGCAGGGCGCTGAATCCATCTCGCTGTGAGCACAGACTGGGGCCAAACTCTGTGCTCTTGCAGCGACTCTCTTGTTCTTCCTGCATCAAGCCAAGCCCTCAGACTCTGTCCAAGCACCTCTCTCTCATTTCGCAGCAGCTGTGCCTACCTACCTAGTTCCAGCCTTTGAATGCATGGCATCAAGGGCCCTAGGTAGTCTAGGTAACCTTCTAGCATGGTCTTTTAAGCTTCGTCGTGAGGCTGAGCTCAAGTCCGGACAGCTCAGAGAGCTCTCCTTAACTCGCCCGGGTCATACCCAAGTTAATGCCCAAATTTATGCCCCCAGCCTCATGTGAAGAGGGCTGTGCGAATTGGCATTCTCTCCCGTGCCTAATCCATCCCTTCCTCGCCATATCCCCTCTCCTTAACAATGTAGGTAGAAGACCTGCATCCACGGCCAGCAGCTCCCTGCCATAGTCTGTGGGCCCCTTAGCCTCGCATTCTTGCTGCATTTCAATTGTCGCCGTCTGTGAGCTTTCAAATCGGACGTCTTCATCACGTTCGACCTGGTAAACCCCTATTCCAGGTGCAAACCCGGCCCGGCATGTCGTGATGGGAATGCTCCAAGGCCTTCGGGCGCGCGCATCAAGTCTCGGGTCTCAAACTCATCACGGCCATCACATTCATCGCATGAGAGACACTCCGGGATCGGCATCGCCTGTCCAGCGCGCCGCCCTCGTGTGCCCCGTTCTTCCATGCCCTCTTCTGGCGCAATCCGAACGCCGGGCACCAGCTCGCTCACCCGCCCGCGCCATCAGCGACGGTTACCTTGCAAGCCTTGCCAGGCTTGTCGCATCCGTCTGCTCACCCCCCCGCTAGCAGCCCGCAAAGCCGCCGTTTGAACACCCTCCCAGTCAGGCGCTCGTGACGCGACTTGCCTAGTCTGGAATGCAGCCGTTCCGAAATCTGACTCGGGCTTGGTTGGCATGTATGCGTGTGTGTGTGTGCCTGCGAACCGCATCACCTTCATCCTCGAACCAAGTGCAACGTCCCAATTCTGCGCAATCCGACCGATTTGTCCGCGTCAAATTCCCTGACAGCGGGCCGCATGTCACCTCATTAAAAAGAAAGAAACAAACTCCTCCCCCATCTCTGGGCCTGCTGAGCTAAGTCGCCAATCCGCAACTTTGAAGCCTCACTTCGGCGTAGCAGGGGGTGGCTCGTGCGTGCGTGCATCAAAAGAGGAAGAGAAGAGAGAAAGAATTAAAAAACCGTATCTCGTAATGTTTTTTTTCTCTACAAAAGACACATGACCGGAAGCCGTGCAGTCTCGTCCAAGTCTACTTCAAGTACGGGACGACCAGCAGGATTCCTGAATTTGCCCGCCTGCCCGTCCGTCCGTTCGCCTGCTTGTCGTCTGAGCTGAAGGGCCCAAGAACTCCTCTCCATGCATCCAACATGCGGCATCATGCATTTTTCTAGAAAAGTGGTCGTTCCGCACGTCACATGCGGTGTTTCGTCATGGTCGTCTCGCGGCCCCCTCTCATGGGGAGCCGCTGGCCACTTGTCCCGGGTATCTCCAATTTCGTCGTCGTCGCCGCCGCCTATCAGCGTCGTCGTTTAGATGGGCTTGATCTTGAAGTGTAGCGCAATCAGGCTGAACACCAGCGCCTTGAGGTCCTGCACCAGGTAGTAGAACACTCGCAGTCCTTCGGGGTCGGCGGACTCTGTCACGTCGACCAGTGACCCGATCTTAGCCGTCTGTTCCAACCGTGTCAGCCCGCTTCTCCGAGTCCAGCAAAGCCGCCGTCACCCACCTCGAATGAAATGTGGTCGTTGCCCAGCCGAATCTCGAGCTCTTGACGTCCGTCCTTGTTCTTCTGCGGCCATTTTGAGTCGTCTTCCCTTCACGATGTGTCAGCGGTGCCGTGGTGTAGTCCGTCGCTGGGGCCGTACTTCATGATCTCGCTCGTCTTGATGATGCGCTTGATCTCATCGATAACAAGAGCGCTGACGCACACTAGTTTCCTCGGGTTAGTCGTGTACGTTTGTTTATTTCGTGGTCGGCATCGTACTCTCTTTGCGGATCAGACTGTCATTTCGGTAGTTGGAGTTGTTCGCGTAACGTGCAACTGCGCTTCTTCCATCGCCGAGAACGCGGAAATCGAACTCTGAGGGCCATCGTCAGAATGCAGATCGAGGGATCATGTGGTGGTGGGGTCGGCGTTACCCAAGAACTCGTGTCCGAACCGTCCAGAGTGGCCGGAGCTGCGTCCAGTTAGCCAGAGTGCCCCAATGTAAAGAGAGAAGGGCCGCATACTAGTATCGGAGGTAAAACTGATCAGTAGGGGCCGCCATCTTTGCAGC